AAACTGCAGTATGGCAGTTGAAAATGTCAAGGTGTTCACAATCAGACCAATCTGTCTGAACTCCCTATAATTACTCCCTTGACTCTGCTGGCAAAGAGGGGAAGAGAACCTGTGGCTCAGTGACTAAATCACTGCCTAGTATGTATAACTGCCCAGGTTCGAATCCCATAAAGGGTATGGCTAACTGATGAAGGCAAAAAAGCCAGAAATGGTCCATCTTAGTCTCCCAATTTAATTCTTTACTCTTTGTCAGAAAAAAGAAATTTGGATATATCATTATCTCTATATATATCTATCATCTATCACTATATCTATCTTTCTATCTCTATCATCTATCATTATCTATCTTTCTATTCTAGCATCTATCATTATCTCTCTATCATTATCTATATCATTATCTCTATATATATCACTATATCTCTCTTTCTATCTCTATCATCTATCATCTATCTCTCTCTCTCTCTCTCTCTCTCTCTCTCTCTCTCTCTCTCATCTACCTACCTACCTACCTATCTATGAGAATTTATATGGCCACCTACTCATTTTCAGTGACTCTGGATGGCTTGCAAAAAATAAACAGAGCCCCAAATTTTGTCACTAAGTGAGACATTTGTTAAGTGAGCTTTGCCTCATTTCACAACCTTTCTTATCACACTTGTTAAGGGAATAACTGCTGTTGTTGTGAGTCACACTGTTTGTGAAGTGAATCTGCTTCCCCCATTGACTTTGCTTGTCACGGGGTCCCAAAAGGTGATTTACATGACCCCGGGACACTGCAACCGTCATTAAGTCCATGCCAGTTGCCCAGTGTCTGAATTTCGATCACGTGACTGCGGGGAGGCTGCAATCCTTGTGTGAAAAACGATCCTAGGTCCCTTTCCTCGGTGCCGTTGTAAACCTGAACGGTCACTAAAACGAATGATTGTTAAATCGAGATCTATCTGTAAAGGAGGCAGTTATTAAATATAACTGGTGTGCTAAGAATGGGAGGCCATTAATTGGATGAATTTGGCAGGAGCCCCTTCCGTGCTGTTTTTGTTCCCCAGAAAATCATTCAAAGGGGAAAGAATTTGGCCAGCTGAGGGATTGTGGGAGTTGAAGTCCACCCATCTGAAAGCTGCCCAAGTTATAATAATAATAATAGTAATAACGTTGGAAGGGACCTTGGAGGTCATCTAGTCCAACCCCCTGCTCAGGCAGGAAACCCTATACCATTTCAGACAAATGGCTGTCCAGTCTCTTCTTAAAAACTTGGAGCATTCACCACTTCTGGAGGCAGGTAGTTCCACTGGCTAATTGTCAAAAAACCTTGCTTTAAATCACCTCTACTGATTTCCTTACGCAACATTTTCCTTCTTTTCTCCCTCTTAGCTTTACGCCCTCCTTCCTTCGGCTGGGATCCTGGAACGTGGTGATGTTTGTGACATACGAACAGCTGAAGCGCGCCATGATGGCAGCCCGGGCATCGTGGGTGACCCCATCCTGAGCTGACCGGCCAGGCAAAATTTAAACTTTTGTCCAGATCCTATGAATCCATCCCCTCCCTTCTCCCGGACCGATGCATTTCTAAAAAAACTGTGGATTTCCCATTTTAAAAATGTTGGAATGGTTTTTACGCTTGTACGTCTCGACCTGGCTGTAGCTGTTGCTATCGGAATCTGCCGACGCTCCTGCTGTCTTTTTTTTTTTTAAAAAAGTAATTTATCTTGGTTGGACCATAGTCCAGTCTCAATTTTAACGCCTGCTGTTTGGAAAAGGACGCTTTTTAAACACGCTGGAGAATCTGAGATGCCCGCACTTATCTTACACCATGTTTATACCAGAAGTCTTACTTTTGTCCTAACTACCTTGCACACCCCTGGAACACAAATGGATGGATTTTTGTCCCACTCGCACAACTCAACTTCGAATCGTCGCAAAGGGCTTCGCTTGGCCAGTTAATTCCATTTAATTAATTCCCCTTTTGGGGACTCGGGAAAAAATCGACTTTCCCAAGCCTCCTAATCTCCCAGATGTCTTTCAAAGGTTGCAACGGTCTCCAAATTGCTGCAATTGGGGAGGGGAGGGCTGCAGCCCAAATGCATTTGGGACACCCTCCTGCTTGGCTCTTGCAAGGCCTTTACTCGCATTACAAAGCTGAATTCAAACCCTGAAACCTGCAAAGGATCTTGAACCCAGATTTCCCACGCTTGAACTGTTCTTTTCGGCGGAGCTGACTGAAGGACGATCTGGCTTACCGGCACTTTTTTCCAGCTGCAAATTTGGGGGGGGGGGGAAAAGAAAAGAAAAATGGCACTTAAAAGCTTCTTCGGTGGGCCAGCCTGCTGTGAAATTGTTTGTGATGTTGTTGCAATGATCTTTTATCTTTTTTAAAAAAAAAACATACACAAAAAACACGCGCTGCGCATGTCGATCTTTTTTTTTTTTTTTTAAATAAAGCTCAAGCAGAAAAGCACCCCATTTTCGTTCTCCGTTCTATCCTCTTCGAACTGAAATCAAATCTGGATTTTGTGTGTGTGTGTGTAGATGTGGGTGGGCACAATTTTCTTTGTTGCCACTCCTGCGGCATCTGTGGGGATAAGGGGTGGTTTCAGGAGGCGGCTGACTCGGCTGCCTCGACTTACGACCACCATGAAGGCTAAAATTTCCGCCGTTCAGCGAGACGTTTGTAAAGTGAGTTGCCCCGTTTTATGACCTTTCCCGTCACGAGTTGTTAAGTGAATCACTGCAGTTGTTAAGGGAGTCACAGGGTTGTTAAGTGAATCTGGCCTTCCCCCATTGACTTTGCTTGTCAGAAGGTCGCAAAAGGGGATCACGTGACTCCCGGGAACATGGCGACCGTCACAAATATGAGCCGGTTGCTAAGCGGCTGAATTTGGATCATGTGACCCCCCCGGGACACAACGACCGTCATAAGTACGAACCAGCTCTATTGTATGCTACTATTCTACTATGACTACGGCACTGATGTTCCCTGCCATTCCGTAGGAGTCAGCGGTGGGATTCAGCTGGTTCCCACCAGTTCGGCAGAACTGGTAGCTAAAATTTGTTGAGTTCGGAGAACCGGCTGAATACACACTGCTTCCGGAGGCCTCAGAGGCCTGGAGGAGGCCTCTCAGGTCTAGAATAGCCCACCAGAAGTGCGTGGATGCCACTTCCGGAAGTCTGTTCTAGGCCTTAAAGGCCTCCCGGGCCTAGAGCAGCCTGCAGGAAGTGCGTGGATGCCACTTCCGGAAATCTGTTCTAGGCCTTAGAGGCCTGGAGGAGGCCTCCCAGGCCTAGAGCAGGGCTTTTCAACCAGTGGTATGGGTACCACCTGTGGTACATTGGCACCTGGCAGGTGGTACGCCACTATCCTAGAAAAGTGGTAGCGCGGGAGGGGAATGAGCTGAACCGGTGGCAGCACCGCACAAGCCTGAGTGAGAGACGGCTGGAGCTGCAGGGCTGTCAGGGCTCAGCGGAAGCCCCAGGATCAGTGCTGCTTTCCAGCTGATTGGCGCTTCTTCGGGGCTGTCGGCTCAGTGGAAGCGCCAGGATCAGCACCAGATTCCAGCTGGAGCTCAGCGCTGATCCTGGTGCTTCTGCTGAGCCCTGAAGAAACACCAATCAGCTGGAATGTTGCAGCCTCTCCAGGGTCTTGTGATTTACATTCAGATGCTTGGCCACTGATTCATATTTATGACGGTCACAGTGTCCCAAGGGTCATGTGAAGGGACCAAAACCTGCTGCAACCACCCAGCAGACGGGAGGAATAAAAACCAAACACCCCCCCACCCCACCCCCACTGCCAATCCTCAACAGAAATGCTCACAACAATGAAACCCTCGGACAGGAGGAAGAGCGCGGCTGGCCGGGCAGGCAGGTGTCTTGCTCGGCTGTGGCTTGGGGGGCACTTTTTTCAGGGCCATTGTAACTTCGAACAGTCACTAAGCGAACTGTTGTAAGTCGAGGACTACCTGTACTTTATCACTTTTTTCCTTTTTTTTTTTTTTGGTCATCAGGTTTTTGACACCTTGCTAGGCGACTGGTGGTACTCGGATGTTGCCATATTCTAAAAGTTGTACAATGGGTGAAATGGTTGAAAAGCCCTGGCCTAGAGCAGCCTGCCGGAAGTGCGTGGATGCCACTTCCGGAGGGCTGTTCTAGGCCTCAGAGGCCCAGGCCTGCATCCACACAGAGAACCGGTTGTTCGGGTCTTTGAATCCCACCACTGCAAGGAGTCCTTGGCATCTAAACTCAATAGAAAACGTTTTAATTTATTATTATTTAAAAAAAAAAAAAAAAAAGGTTGGGGGAGAGCGGCCGGGTCTACTGGGAGGGTGGTCTTCACATCAGGAGGGCTTCCCTCACGAGGGCCTTCTTGGCCGGGGTGAGTCTGGCCGGGAAGAGGATGTCAAAGTACATGAAGAGGTCTCCCTTGCAGGTGGGGTCTTGGGGAAACGGCATCCCCTCGCCGGGGACCACTTTGAAGTACTTGGGGCTGCAAAAGGATGAAAGAGACAGCGGTGGTTATTTCAATTTAAATAAGATTTTTTTGTAAGCAGGATCTATGACGAGGCAATCAAAAAAAGAAGCTTTATATTGACGCGGTTATCATTTGCAGAAGCATTAGAAAAAATGTCTATATTTAATTGTCGTTTATCCCAAGGATATAAGCCCTGTATTAATTCAAGGTTGGCAAAAGAGAATATTATCGGGAGGAAAGAAAACCAAGCGAAGCTATTTTGTGGACTATAGAATCAGAGAAACTCATTGTTATCAATCGGTTTTTTAAATATAAACCCAGACAACACACTGTTTGCCAAATATTAAGGTGATTCTGTTAAAAAAGTCAATAAAACATATTTAATTTAAAAAAAAAAGGAAAAGAAAAAGATGGTGGTTGGGGGGAAAGGAGAGCAGCTGGGAAGCCAGACACAAACACAAGACAATCCTCGAATTTGCAGCCATTTGTTTAGTGACTGAAATTACAGGTAGTCCTCGCCTTACAACAGCTCTTTTAGTGACCGTTCAAAGTTACAACGGCATTGGGAAAACTTTAACGTTTTTTCACACTTGACGACCTTTGCAGCACGGGATCAAAATCCAAACGCTTGGAAACTGACATGGACTTATGACGGTTGCAGTGTCGTGATCCCCTTTTTGTGACCGTCTGACCAGCAGAGTCAATGGAGGAAGCCAGATTCACTTAACGACGGTGTTACTCACTTAACAACTTCAGCGATTTCCTTCGCCACCGTGGCAAGAAAAGTCGTAAAACGGGGCAAAACCCGGTTAACAAATGTTTCGCTTAACGACAGAAATGCTGGGGCTCAATTATAGTCGTAAGTTGAGGACCACCTGCACAAGGGCACTGAAAAAAGTGACTTTATGACCCGCTTTTTGCACATACGACGGTTGCAGAACCCCCATGGATCACGGGATCAACATTTTCTGCCGTTGTCACTAAACAAATGGCTTTTAATGTTCTCATTACTTCTCCCAGCTTGGGCAGCAAGAGCACATTTCGCTGCCCAATAAACCTCCCCCCGGGTTGCGAGTTCGAGGTTACGCGGCTCTGCTTCCTGCTCTTCGAAGCGAGCTTTCCCCTTCTGCTAAATACAGACCCTTTGCGTTCTCTGGAGATTCTCCGTCATCCAGGTCATGATTTTTTTCAGGAGGCAACTGGACTTTCCTGTTTTTCTTTGAGGACGTTTCGCTTCTCATCCCAGAAGCTTCTTCAGGTTCTGACTGGATGGTGGGGAGTGGAAGGATTTATACTCCTTTCAGAAAAACTGGTCGTTTGCCTTCTTTTAGAGAGCCGTTGAGGCCACTTGGAGGTTTTTTTGTATCCTGAGTGATGCAAATGGGTAACCTATCTATCTCCAATTTGCAACACAATCCTTTCCGCAGCTCCAAGAAGGCTCCACACCCATTTGTACCACTCGGGTGACCCTGAGGACACACACACAAACCTCCAAGTGGCCTCAATAACCTTCTAATAGGATGCAAATGACCAGTTTTTCTGCAAGGAGTATAAATCCTTTCATTCCCCACCATCTAGTCAGAGCCGAAGAAGCTTCTTGGATGAGAAGCGAAACGTCTGCAGATGAAAACAAGAAAGTCCAGTGGCCTCAAGAAAAAGCACCTGTGCGCCATCTTTGCCTTCTGCAAAACGGAGGTTGTTTGGTTAACCATGCCACAATGATCGGTGGTGTGAACGCAGCCAGGGAGGGGTTAACCGTCAGCTCCCCAGACCCTCCCCTTCCTCCAAGACGGCACTTACTGGACAATGTCATTGATGGGGATGTTCAACAGCCGGTCATCCAGAGTCCTCACGTCCACCGTGCAGCCTATCAGGGCCTGGGGGAGTAATAGACAGGGACCGGCTGAGATTTGCTATCCCAGAATGACCCAGGGATGCATTTGCACAACACAGAGAGTCCTCGAACTGATTAAAGCGAGTTACAACTAGTTGTTTGAAGGACCAGGTTGGGACAGATCACCATGGAGAAGGTCTAACCCAGGGGTCTTCAAACATGGCCCTTTTATGACTTGTGGACTTCAACTCCCAGAATTCCTCAGCCAGACATGCTGGCTGAGGAATTCTGGGAGTTGAAGTCCACAAGTCATAAAAGGGCCATAGTTCCCCCATGCTAGCTCAGGAATTCTGGGAGTTGAAGTCCACAAATCATGAAGGGGCCATAGTTCCCCCATGCGGGCTCAGGAATTCTTCACCTAAAATTCCTGTCAGCATGGATGGACTTCAACTCCCAGAATTCCCCAGTCAGCATGGATGGACCTCAACTCCCAGAATTCCCCAGCCAGGGCTGGCTCAGGAATTCTGGGAGTTGAAGTCCACAAGTCATGAAGGGGCCACAGTTCCCCCATGCTGGCTGAGGAATTCTGGGAGTTGAAGTCCACAAGTCATAAAAGGGGCACGTTTGAAGACCGCTGGTCTAATCTATGAAGCCACTAAGAGTCCATACCAGCTCAGGATCAAGTAAACCATACGTAACCCAAGCATGGTTATACATGATAGGTGGACACCCCGCCTGTGTGTCATTGTATGTGTGTGTGTGTGTGTGTGTTAGCGTAAACGACAGCAGCCTTTGGTTCCCCCTGCCTAGTCTTTGCGTTACCTTTCCCAGAGGGATGCTGGCCACGTAGAGCAGGTTGTCGTCCTCCCGTTTAAACCTGGGATGGAGTTTCTCCTTCACAATGAAGATGATATCCGCAGGGATAATGTTGGGACCCTAAAATGAAAGACCAGGAATGGGGGTAAGGTCGGGCAGGGTTGAAAAAGGAGATTTCTCACAACCTATATTAACCCTTCGGATTATCCAAGGGAAGCAAAGGTGTGTGCAGTTGAATTGTTCCTCCAGGTGATCAGCCTGCCAGGCTCGTTTTAACTGTATTATCACTGGAGATTTTTGAGAAGCGATTGGACAGCCATTTGTCTGAAATGGTATAAGGCAGGGGTCTTCAACCTTGGCAACTTTAAGACTTCAACTCCCAGAATTCCTCAGCCAACATGGGGGAACTATGGCCCCTTCATGACTCGTGGACTTCAACTCCCAGAATTCCTGAGCCAGCATGGGGGAACTATGGCCCCTTCATAACTTGTGGACCAACTCCCAGAATTCCTGAGCCAGCATGGGGGAACAATGGCCCCTTCATGGCTTGTGGACTTCAACTCCCAGAATTCCTGAGCCAGCATGGGGGAACTATGGCCCCTTCATGACTCGTGGACTTCAACTCCCAGAATTCCTGAGCCAGCATGGGGGAACAATGGCCCCTTCATGACTCGTGGACTTCAACTCCCAGAATTCCTGAGCCAGCATGGGGGAACTATGGCCCCTTCATGACTCGTGGACTTCAACTCCCAGAACTCCTCAGCCAGCATGGGGGAACTATGGCCCCTTCATGACTCGTGGACTTCAACTCCCAGAATTCCTCAGCCAGCATGGGGGAACTATGGCCCCCTTCATGACTCGTGGACTTCAACTCCCAGAATTCCTGAGCCAGCATGAGGGAAACTTTGGCCCCTTCATGACTCGTGGACTTCAACTCCCAGAATTCATCAGCCAGCATGCCTGGCTGAGGAATTCTGGGAGTTGAAGTCCACAAGTCAAAAAAGGGCCATGTTTGAAGACCCCTGGATTAGAGAGAGAGTTCTCTCAACTTCAAACAAGTTAGCAGTAAGGAAAAATGTCCTGACAGAACAATTAACTGGTGGAACGGAAGTTGCCTCCAGAAATCGTGGCCGCTCCATCACTGGACGTTTTTAAGAAGAGACTGGACAGCCACTTGGTTGGAATGGTAGAGGGTCTCCTGCTTGAGCAGGGGGCTGGACTAGAAGACCTCCAAGGCCCCTTCCAACTCTGCTATTCTGTTATTCTGCTTTCCTTCCTTCCTTCCTTCCTTCCTTCCTTCCTTCCTTCCTTCCTTCCTTCCTTCTCCATCACTGGAAGTTTTCAAGAAGAGACTGGACAGCCACTTGTTTGGAATGGTAAAGGGTCTCCTGCTTGAGCAGGGGGCTGGACTAGAAGACCTTCAAGGTCCCTTCCAACACTGTTATTGTGTTAATTAATGAGTGGGATGGAAGTTGCCTTCGGAAGTTGTGGGTGCTCCATCGCTGTAGGTTTTTAAGAAGAGACTGGACTGCCACTTGACTGGAATGGCATAGAGCCTCCTGCTTGAGCAGGGGGCTGGACTAGATGACCTCCAAGATCCCTTCCAACTCTGTTCAGTTCTGGCTGAATGGTGGGGAATGGAAAGATTTATATTAGCAGTCCTACCACCTCACCTGTCCTTGCTTCACCTCACCTGGTCTCCTTCCTCTTTAAAAGTGATCTTAGTCCCCGACTTCCATCCGGGCTGAACATCGATTGTTAGGATCTTATCTTTAATGGTGGAGGCGTGACCGTCCTCGTTCATCACCTGAGGGTTTGGAAAGAGATTGGGGGGGGGATACCGTTCACATACAGCGGTAGTCTTCAAACTTGGCAACTTTAAGACTTGTGGACTTCAACTCAGTCGTAAGTATGAGTCAGTTGCCCAACGTCTGGATTTTGATCATGTGACGATGGGGACACTGCAACCGTCCTAAGTACACGCCAGTTGCCAAGCCTCTGAATTTTGATCACGTGACCACGACCCGTAAGTGTGAAAAACGGTCACCAGTCACCCTTTTCAGCGCCATTGCAACTTTAAACGGTCACTAAACGAACCGTTGTAAGTCAAGAACTACTTGTAGTCAGTCACGTGGCGATCCGTTTAGCGACCGGCACGGCTTACGACTGTAATTCTGGGCTCAGTTATGGTTGATAGTTGTGGATTACCTACACAAGCTTAGTTGTTCATCTGCACAGTCGACAGCCCTACTAAGCTTGGTGTTAGGACAGTTGTGCTGTCACAACACAACGGAGGTACATGCCAGTTGTCAATTCTGCCCCAATTCTGATGGGGACAAGATGGGCACAGCAAAACGAGTCAAAAACTTCAAGATGGCAGCCAAGAGATCAAAGTCCCGCCCCCATTTTGTGTGAAAACTCCCTCCCTGATCCAAAACACACACACACACACACACACACACACACCTTAAACCTCCTTCCACCTCATGTTTTCCTCCCTTACCCTCCGCGAGATTTTTATTTTCTTGGTGCACCCAAAAAACAGGTCTTCAAGGGACAGGTAGAGGTCCCGTTCGATGGGGGGGTCCTGCTTCTTCACCCCACGGCCGCGGAGACCCCCAAAAGCCATGTTTACTTCGGCCCCTTCCGCAGTGTAGAATTCTAAAGCGGGGAGAGGAGAGGTGGGCACCGGTTACCTTCCGCCGGCCTAGTGTTTGCCAAACTTGACAATCTTAAGATGGGCGGACTTCAACTCCCAGAATTCCCCGTGACGGCTGAGGCATTCTGGGAGCTGAAGTCCTTACATCTTGAAAAGGCATAGAATCAAGATCACGCGAAGTACTAGTACCGCTTTATAAAACCCTAGTGAGGACACACCTGGAATACTGCCTCCAGTTTTGGTCACCATATCACAAAAAAGATATTGAGAGTTTGGAAAAAAATTCAGAGAAGAGCAACTAAGATGATCCAAGGCCTGGAGATCAAAAGATATGAAGAACGGCTGCGGGACTTGGGTCTGGCTAGTCTAAAGGAAAGAAGAAATAGGGGAGACGTGATAGCAGAATTCCAGTATTTGGGGGGCTGCCACAAAGAAGAGGGGGTCAAACTATTCTCCAAAGCACCAGAGGGAAGGACGAGAAACAAGGATTGGAAACTGACCAAGGAGAGAAGCAACCTGGAATTAAGGAGAAACTTCCTAACAGTGAGGACAATTAACCAGTGGAACAGCTTGCCACTAGAAATCGTGGGCGCTCCATCACTGGAGGTCTTTAAGAACAGACTAGACAGCCACTTTTCTGAGACGGCATAGGTTCTCCTGCTTGAGCAGGGGGCTGGACTAGAAGACCTCCAAGGTTCCTTCTAGCTCTATTCTATATATATAAGTTAGCAAGGTTGAAAAGCACTGCACCAGCCTGACTAAATACAGGTAGTTCTATTTGGGATGAGAGTTTTTGTTGGTATCTAGACTCACATAAACAGGCCTGGTACGCTGGCTAGAAGCTGCTCTCCTGCCCGTCTCCTGGACTTCACTCAGACATAACGCTGACCTGCAAGTCGCAGGCGAACAGGTGGGTTGTCCGAACCTACCAGAGAAGGGGTTGTCTCCTCCGAAGAAATCACGGAAAACTTTATCAGGGTTTCCATGGAAGATGTAGCCTTCAGTCCAGGGGGTGTCAATGCCAAACTCCAGGGGGATTCCTCCCTTCAGACCCTCCTCGGCAAACTTATCGTACACGGCTTTCTTCACAGCTAAAGATCAAAGAGGCAACATTTAGCTGGGCAAATAATAATAATAATAATAATAATAATAATAATAATAATAATAGTAATAATAGAGAAGAAGAAGAAGAAGAAGAAGAAGAAGAAGAAAGAAGAAGAAGAAGAAGAAGAAGAAGAAGAAGAAGAAGAAGAAGAAGAAGAAGAAGAAGAAGAAGAAGAAGAAGAAGAAGAAGAAGAAGAAAGTTGAAAGGGACCTTGGAGGTCATCTAGTCCAACCCCCTGTTCAGGCAGGAAACCGTAGACCATTTCAGACAAAAAAAAGAGGAAGGAAAAATAATCGGTGGGCACCGTATTGTATATAGGAAGTCCTCGACTTACAACAGTTCATTTAGTGACTGTTTGAAGTTACAACGGCACTGGAAAAAGAGACCTAGGATCGTTTTTCACACTTACAAGTGTTGCGGCATCTTCATGGTCACCAAAATTCAGAGGCTTGGAAACTGGCATGTACTTAGGACGGTTGCAGTGTCCCGGGATAATAATAATAATAATAATAATAATAATAATAATAATAATAATAATAATAATAATAATAATAATAATAATAATAATAATAATAATAATAATAATAATAATAATAATAAAGTTGGAAGGGACCTTGGAGATCATCGAGTCCAACCCACTGCTCAGGCAGGAACCCTACATCATTTCAGACATGTGATTCCTAATTTTGTGACCTTCTCACAAGCGAAGTCAACGGGGGAGCCAGATTCGCTTAACGACCGTGTGACTAACTTAACAACTGAGATTCCACTTAACAACAGGGCCAAAATTTGCTTAAGAACTGCCCCGGCTTAGCGACAGAAATTTTCAGCTAGTTGCGGTCGTACGTTGAGGACTACCTGTGGACCTTGCAGAAAAGAGAGGAGCTCTTTTTTTTCCCCACACACACACAAGTTGTTCTTGTTGCGTTCTTCAGTTTGCTCTCTTCCTTCCTCTTCTACTTACCGGAAAAGAGCCTGTGTCCATATAATAATAATAATAATAATAATAATAATAATAATAATAATAATAATAATAATAATAATAATAATAATAATAATAATAATAATAAAGTTGGAAGGGACCTTGGAGGTCATCTAGTCCAACCCCCTGCTCAGGCAGAAAACCCTACACCATTTCGGACAAATGGCTGTTCAGTCTCTTCTTAAAAACTTCCAGTGTTGGAGCATTCACCACTTCTGGAGGCAGGTTGTTCCACTGGTTAATTGTTCTCACTGTCAGGAAGTTTCTCCTTAGTTCTAGGTTGCTTCTCTCCTTGATCAGTTTCCATCCGTTGCTTCTTGTCCTGCCTTCAGGCGCTTTGGAGAATAGCTTGACTGCCTCTTCTTTGGGGCAGCCCCTGAGATACTGGAAGACTGCTATCATGTCCCCCCTCGTCCTTCTCTTCGTTAAACTGGACATACCCAATTCCAGCAACCGTTCCTTCTATGTTTTAGCCTCCAGTCCCCTAATCATCTTCGTTGCTCTTCTCTGTACTCTTTCCAGAGTCTCAACATCTTTTTTACATCCTGGTGACCAAAACTGGATGCCATATTCCAAGTGTGGCCTTACCAAGGCCTTGTAAAGTGGTATTAATACTTCACGTGATTTTGATTCTATCCCTCTGTTAATGCAGCCTAGAATTGTGTTGCCTTTTTCGGCAGCTGCAGCACATGGCTGTGTTTCTCAATTTTGGACACTTTAAGATGGATGGACCTCAACTCCCAAAATGCCCCAGCCACGGGAATTCTGGGAATTGAGGTCTACCCTTTTTTTTTTTTTTGAGAAACACTGATCTAAATCCTCTTCAGCGTCCTTGATTTAATGGCGTGTGAGAAAGACCTTGAAGAATAGGAAGAAAGGATGCTTAGGGAACAGTCAGTAAGAGACAGCTTAGCCCACAGTTGTATAATGGGAGGAGAAGACCCTTGGATGTCGTAGAGAAGCAGATCTTCCGTGCTGCATCTCTGTGTGGTCTCCTTTCCTTTACTTACGGTCGCTTAGGACATCGTAGGCTTCGGCCAACTGCTTGAATTTCCCAGGAGCCCACGGCTCCTTGTTCTTTAGCGGGTGATACTTCAAGGCCAGCTTCCGATATCTGCAAACCACACAGAGAGAAGCTGCACTTTTTGTTCCAGGCATCCCGAACGCCCAACACTGGATTCACACAACCGGCTTTGCCAGGTTTGTTAAGCTGTGTTGGGGCATCGCTTTCACTCGTTCAATGCTTTTTGCATCTTTGCAAGTTCGGGGGTGGCGCAAAGCCTTGGGCCACCCCCTAGAGCAGCGCTTGAAGGGGTATGGACTTCGACTCCCAGCATTCCTCATTCAAAGTGTGCTTTAAGACAGGGAATTCTGGGAGATGAAGTCCACATGTCTTCAAGTGGCCCAGATGGAGAAAGCACTGCCTTAGTGCAGGGGGTCTCCGAATTTGGATACATTTAACCCCTTGTGGACTTCGACTCCCAGCATTCCCCAGCCAGAGTGCTTTAAGACAGGGAATTCTGGGAGTTGAAGTCCACATCTCTTCAAGTGGCCCAGATGCAGAAGCAGTGCCTTACTTGGCAACTTTTAAACCCTTGTGGACTTCAACTCCCAGCATTCCCCAGCCAGAATGCTTTTAGGTCAGGGAATTCTGGGAGTTGAAGTCCACAAGTCGTAAAAGTTGCCAAATTTGCAGAGCCCTGCACTAAGAGGGCAGATTTGGGGGGGGGTTCCTTGCCCGTTGCACAGGAGGGGGGAATAATAATAATAATAATAATAATAATAATAATAATAATAATAATAATAATAATAATAATAATAATAATAATAATAATAATAATAATAATAAAAAGTTGGAAGGGACCTTGGAGGTCATCTAGTCCAACCCCCTGCTCAGGCAGGAAACCTTATACCATTTCGGAGCTCCCCACGTCCATGCAGCCTGCAAATGCAGGGATTCTCAAAAGGGGCAAAGTGGGAGATGGGCGGAGGCTCCGCCAAGCCCATGCTGCACGGCCAAGGAGGATGGGCGTTGCAATCCCACGCGCCTGGAGAGGCACCCCTCTTTCTGCCCGCCTTGCAGCCTCCACCCCGGGCCCTCACGCCTTCTTGATGTCCGCATCCTTGGCGTTGCGGTTCAGCTCCAGCACCACGTAGTAATCCTGCCCCATCGCGGCCTGGTTTGCGTCGGGCTTCTCCCGTTGCTATGGCGACCGCCGCCGCCGACCGCCCGGGGCATGACGGGAGTTGTAGTCTCGCGTCCCCGGGGAATTCTTCGGATGCCGCGCGTTTCTCGTTGCTGTGTTGGGAAGCCCGGAGATGCAGTGGGAACCCTGTTTCAGGGTTGGGGGGGTTGTTGTCCTGGGGCAAAGGACCCCCGCCGGTCCCTCTCCTTTGCACAAGAAGGGGCGTCCCTTGGGAGGGGCGGTTTGCAACCTTTTTGGGGGCAGGAGACCCGCAAAAAACTGGTTTGCAAAAGGTGCTGCAAGAGGTTGGGGAAGGATTGCACACACACACCCCGCACACACACCCGGAAAACCAATTTCCTTGGGATGATATTATTATTATTATTATTATTATTATTATTATTATTATTATTATTATTATTATTATTATTATTATTATTATTATTATTATTATTGTTAGACTCGATAGGTAGACAAAAATGCCAAATCCAGTCTGAACATCTGGCTGACTGCGATGATCAATAATAATAATAATAATAATAATAATAATAATAATAATAATAATAATAATAACAACAACAACATAATGATGATGATGATGATGATGATGATGATGATAAAGTTGGAAGGGACCTTGGAGGTCATCTAGTCCAACCCCCTGCTCAGGCAGGAAACCCTATTCCATTTCAGACAAATGGCTGTCCAGTCTCTTCTTAAAAACTTCCAGTGTTGGAGCATTCACCGCTTCTGGAGGCAGGTGGTTCCACTGGTTAATTGTTCTAACTGTCAGGAAGTTTCTCCTTAGTTCTATTTGCCGGAGTCTGAAGTTCTGCCAAGTCTGGTGACCACTTTGCATTGGATGGGAGACCACTAGGCGATCCCCAGACCGAATCACAGGCTTGGAAGGGACCTTGGAGATCTAATCTAGTTCAACCTCCCTGCTGGAGCAGGAGACCCTAGACCAGGGGTCTTCAAACTTGGCCCTTTGATGACTTGTGGACTTCCAACTCCCAGAATTCCTCAGCCAGGCACGCTATTTTTCAGTCTGTTTTTTTCCAGGGTGAGGGTCCTCAGTGCTGAAAACAACGGTAAAAATTAAGCAAAGCTGCACGCAGATTGTTCAGGATTAGGGTGTGTGTGTGATGCAGTCTGGTCTGGTAATTGAAGCTTTTATGGGGAGGGGAGGTGTTGACTTTGAAATCAAGACATGTCTGACTCTTTGTAAAACCTCTTTTTATGACCTTTTTAGACTCTTCCACGTGGCTGCAAAATGCCCTCTTTTGTTTACCCTTCAGCCACTTTGCTCCTGCCAAGAGGGTAATGAAGCTTTTTTTTGGGGGGGGGGGGCTAAAGACAGACTAGGAAAACATAATTATGGGATGGTACTTTATACACAGTTCAGCTATATCAGCAGCTGCAGACCGGGAAGGGTGTGTGTGTGTGTGTGTGGGAGGGAAGATTTTCCCAGAAAGCTTTCCATGCATTTAACTGTTTATAGGTAGTCCTCAACTTACGACCGCAAGGGAGCCCCAAATCTCTTGTTAAGTGAGACGTTTGTTAAGTGAGTTTTGCCACAGTCGTTAAGCGAATCACTGCAGTTGATATGTTAATAAGCCGGTTGTTAAGTGAATCTTGACTTTGCTTGTCACAAGGCCGCAAAAGGGGGAATCACCTAACCCTGGGAAAAAGCTACGGTCGTAACTGTGAAGCAATTGCCAAGCCTTTGAATTCTGATCGCGTGACCGTGGGGGAAGCGGGCGTAACAGTGCAACACGGTCCTAAGTCGCTTTTCCCAGGGCCGTTGTAACTTTGCACGGTCACTAAATGAACGGCGGCGAGTCGAGGGCTGCCTGTACAGTCCTTGAAAATATATGCAACTGTTCGTTTAGTGACCGAATTTGCAACAGCACTGAAAAGAAGGGACTTAGGACCATATAATAATAATAATAATAATAATAATAATAATAATAATAATAATAATAATAATAATAATAATAATAATAATAATAATAATAATAATAATAATGGAAGGGACCTTGGAGGTCATCTAGTCCAACTCCCTGCTCAGGCAGGAAACCCTATATCGTTTCAGACAAATGGCTGTCCAATCTCTTAGAATAGAATAAAGTTGGAAGGGACCTTGGAGGTCATCTAGTCCATCCCCCTGCTCAGGCAGGAAACCCTATACCATTTCGGACAAATGGCTGTCCAGTCTCTTCTTAAAAACTTCCAGTGTTGGAGCATTCACCGCTTCTGGAGGCAGGTGGTTCCACTGGTTAATTGTTCTCACTGTCAGGAAGTTTCTCCTTAGTTCTAGGTTGCTTCTCTCCTTGGTTAGTTTCCACCTGTTGCTTCTTGTCCTGCCTTCAGGGGCTTTGGAGAATAGCTTGACTCCCTCTTCTTTGGGGCAGCCCCTGAGATACTGGAACGCTGCTATCATGTCCCCCCTCGTCCTTCTCTTCATTAAACTAGACGTACCCAATTCCAGCAGCCGTTCCTTATATGTTTCAGCCTCCAGTCCCCTAATCATCTTTGTTGCTCTTCTCTGCACTCTTTCCAGAGTCTCAACATCTTTTTTACATCGTGGTGACCAACATTGGATGCACTATTCCAAGGCCTTATTCTGTATTCTGTTATTCTGTATTCTATTCTGTAAATCAAACCTTTCTCCCTCATTCTGCTTTCCAGTCCAAATCTGAGGGAGAGGGAGGGAAGTTAACGTATTTCCATTGAAAATAAAGCGCTGTGCCTTTAAGGAGCCTCGGCTTGAGTTTTCATGATTGGATTTTTATGATTTCTCAAGTTTTGCCAAGCGTCAGCGACCTTACAATCCAAAGGGGCTACCAAAAAGGAATTCCTGCCGTGAGCTCATTGATCCTGGGTTAATAATAATAATAGTAAAGTTGGAAGGGACCTTGGAGGTCATCTAGTCCAACCCACTGCTCAGGCAGGAAATCCTATACCATTTCGGTTCTCCTTCCACCGGTCAGTTCCTTGGCCCGGGCTTTAGAAGAATCAAAACACAATCAAAATCAAAACCCAAAGTGATTTTGTTTTTTTCCCAAATGCAAAGTGGTCTTTAATAAGCAGAAACCTTCCTGGCTACTCAAAGCACATTAGCCATATCTGTCAGCTCAGGGGTCTTCAAACTAGGACTTGTGGACTTCAACTCCCAGAATTCCTCAGCCAGTGTGCCTGGCTGAGGAATTCTGGGAGTTGAAGTCCACACGTCCTAAAAGGGCCAAGTTGGAAGACCCCTGGGTCAGCTCTATTTAAGCGACTGTATATAAGCCAGTGTTTCTGAACCTCGGCCCCTTTAAGAGGGGTGGACTTCAACTCCCAGAATTCCCCAGCCAGCCATGGCTGGCTGGGGAATTCTGGGAGTTGAAGTCCACCCCTCTTAAAGGGGCCGAGGTTCAGAAACACTGGTACAGCAGGTCTAGAAACCAGGAGCCCCGTTGGCGCCTTTCAAAACGGCCGCTGAAAGGAATCGCAGAACTAAATCCAGGATTTGCAGTCCGTGGTGGAAATTTCCAGGCGGATCAGAGATCGGAAAGCTGGTATCGCCTCAGGATCCCGTCTCGGCAGCAAGTGTAGATTTCTTTTCCCCACGTGGCTACCTAGAAAAAAAAAATCAGAAAAAAAATGTCTCAACCCTCGTAGGGTTCCTGATGACAAGCTGGGTGGTCCTGGGCTTACGGCCACAACGGAGACTAAAATTACTGTGGCTAAACGAGACGTTTGTTAAGTGCGTTTTTTTTTCTTTTCTTTCTTTTTTTTTTAATAACAGAGTTGGAAGAGACCTTGGAGGTCATCTAGTCCATCCCCCCTGCTCAAGCGGGAGACCCATACAGAATCACAGAGTTGGAAGGGACCCTGTAGGTCATCTAGTCCATCCCCCTGCTCTTTCTTTTTTTTTTCTTTCTTTTCTTCCTTTCTTTTCCTTCCTCCCTTCCTTCCTTTCTTTCTTTCTTTCTTTCTCAAGCAGGAGACCCTTACAGAATTACAGAGTTTGAAGAGACCCTGGAGGTCATCTAGTCCATCCCCCTGTTCTTTCTTTCTTTCTTTCCTTCCTTCCTTTTTCTCTCTTTCTTTCCTTTCTTTTTTTTCTTTCTTTTCTCCTTCCTTCCCTCCTTCCTTTCTTTCTTTCTCAAGTCTCCTTACAGAATCACAGAGTTGGAAGGGACCCTGGAGGTCATCTAGTCCAACTCCCTGCTCAAGCAAGAGACCCTTAGAGAATCACAGAGTTGGAAGGGACCCTGAAGGTCATCTAGTCCAACTCCCTGCTCAAGCAAGAGACCCTTAGAGAATCACAGAGTTGGAAGGGACCCTTGAGGTCATCTAGTCCAACCCCCCTTTCTCCAACGTCTTTAAAAAAAGTTCCAGTGTTGGAGCATTCACCGCTTCTGGAGGCAGGTGGTTCCACTGGTTAATTGTTCTAACTGTCAGGAAGTTTCTCCTTAGTTCTAGGTTGCTTCTCTCCTTGATGAGTTTCCATCCGTTGCTTCTTGTCCTGCCTTCAGGCACTTTGGAGAATAGCTTGACCCCCAATTCTTCTTTGTGGCAGCCCCTGAGATATTGGAACACTGATATCATGTTCCCCCTCGTCCTTCTCCTCATTAAACTAGACATACGCAATTCCAGCAGCCATTCCTTATATGTTTTAGCCTCCAGTCCCCTGATCATCTTCATTGCTCTTCTCTGTACTCTTTCTAGAGTCTCAACATCTTTTTTACATTGTGGTGACCAAAAATGGATGCCAGATTCCAAGTGTGGCCTTACTAAGGCATTGTAAAATGGTATTAATACTTCACGTGATCTTGATTCTATCCCTCTGTTAATGCAGCCCAGCACTGTGTTGGCTTTTTTGGCAGCTGCAGCACACGGCTGGCTCCTATTTAAGTGATTGTCCACTAGGACTCCGAGATCCCTCTCACAGTTACTACTACTGAGCAAGGTACCACCTATATCAGGGGTAGGCAACCTTGGCTCCTTTATGACTCATGGACTTCAACTCCCAGAGTTCCTGAGCCAGCATGGGGGAACTATGGCCCCTTCATGACTCGTGGACTTCAACTCCCAGAATTCCTGAGCCAGCATGAGGGAACTATGACCCCTTCATGACTTATGGACTTCAACTCCCAGAATTCCTCAGCTAGCATGGGGGAACTATGGCCCCTTCATGACTCGTGGACTTCAACTCCCAGAATTCCTGAGCCAGCATGGCTCAGCTTGGAAACCTCTCCCTTTCCCCTCAGCATGGCTGGCTCAGGAATTCTGGGAGTTGAAGTCCACGAGTCATAAAAGAGCCAAGGTTGCCTACCTCTGACCTATACTATATCTGTACATTTGGTTTTTCTTGCCTAAATGTAGAACCTTACTTTTTTCACCACTAAATTTCATTTTCACCATCTTGCCAGGCAACTCCTATTTCGGTTTCCGGGTAGGATTCCGATTCCTATTTTTCCCTTCCAGACGTCCCTTCTTTGCTCAAGCGAGCTCGTGCTGAATGTTGTGTTTTATACATACCTTGTACACAGGATCACAGTCGGGTCCGGTCAGCTCAAGAACGTGATCGAGGTCTTGTTGCATAATGAAACAAGTTCCATCACCTGCAAAGAGGGAAGCATTGAAACTCTGCATTGAATCTTTTTAATTCTATTTGTTTTTATACTTGTAATTGTTTGGCTATTTGTTTTTGGTAAACTCCCCAGAATCGCTTGGATAGCGAGATGGGTGGCATATAAATTTAAGAAAGAAAGAAAGAAAGGAAGGAAGGAAGGAAGGAAGGAAGGAAGGAAGGAAGGAAGGAACAAAAAAAGGAAGGAAGGAAGGAAGGAAGAGAGAGAGAGAGAAAAGAAAGAAAAGAAAAAGGAGCAAGAAGGCAGGGATAGTTATGGGTTGCTAGAATCGGGTATATCTAGTTTAATGAAGAGAAGGACGAGGGGGGACATGATAGCAGTCTTCCAGTATCTCAGGGGCTGCCCCAAAGAAGAGGGAGTCAAGCTATCCTCCAAAGCAACTGAAGGCAGGACAAGAAGTAATGGATGGAAACCAATCAAGGAGAGAAGCAACCTGGAACTAAGGAGGAATTTCCTGACAGTCAGAACAATTAACCAGTGGAACAACCTGCCTCCAGAAGCGGTGAATGCTCCAACACTGGAAGTTTTTAAGAAGAGGCTGAACAGCCATTTGTCTGAAATGGTATAGGGTTTTCTGCCTGAGCAGGGGGTTGGACTAGATGACCTCCAAGGTCCCTTCCAATTTTATTATTATTACTGAGTTGAGCAGGCATTTGCATTTCCTTACTAAATAAATAAAAAATGCATCAATTTTACCTTGGCTGGCAATAAACCCGTCTTTATAAGGCATCAGGGAAAGGACTGGGGCTCCTGATCGCTGGATCACTCGAACGGGAGCTCTGAAAACGGACAAAGAATTCCCATATTGAAATGTCGACAGAGATTCCCAAGCATTCCCGGTCGTGCGAATAAAGTCCTCGCTTTACGACAGTTCATTTAGTGACCGAAGTTAAAACAGCACTGAAAAAAAATGACTTAGGGCCGTTTTTCACATTTACAACCTTTGCAGCATCCCCGTGGTGACGCAATCAAAATTCAGACTGACTCATACTTATGACGGTCGCAGCGTCCCGGGATCACGCGATCCCCTTTGGCGACCTTCTGACAAGCAAAGTCAGTGGGGGAAAAGCCATTTTCACTTAAGGACCGCGTGACTCACTTAACAGCTGTAGCAAGAAAGGGCGTAAAGCAGGGCAAACTTCACGTCACACATGTCTCACTTAGTGACGTAAATTTGGGACTCAATTGGGGTTATACGTTGAGGACTAGCCGCCTGTGGAAACATAGTTCACGGATAAAACCAACAGCCACATTAAGCTACGGAAGGGGAGGGGGAGATTGTTAAAAAGGACAGCCGTTTGTCTGAAATATAAGTATAAAAGTTTCCTACCGGAGCAGGGGGTTGGACTATAGACCAGGGCTTTTCAACCTTTCCACCCATTGTACCACTTTTAGGATATGGCAACATCCGAGTACCACCAGTCGCCTAGCAAGGGGTCAAAAACTTGATGACCAAAAAAAAAAAAAAAAGGAAAAAAGTGATAAAGTACAGGTAGCCCTCGACTTACAACAGTTCGCTTAGTGACTGTTCGAAGTTACAATGGCACTGAAAAAAGTGTCCCCCCAAGGCACAGCCGAGCAAGACCCCTGCCTGCCCGCCCGGCCGCGCTCTTCCTCCTGTCCGAGGTTTCCATTGTTGTGAGCATTTCTGTTGAGGATTGGCAGCAGGGGTGGGGTGGGGGGGTGTTTGGTTTTTATTCCCCCCCCCCGTCTGCTGGGTGGTTGCAGCAGGTTTTGGTCCCTTCACATGACCCTGGGACACTGTGACCGTCATAAATATGAATCGGTTGCCAAGCATCTGAATGTAAATCACAAGACCCTGGAGAGGCTGCAACATTCCAGCTGATTGGTGCTTCTTCTGGGCTCAGCGGAAGCGCCAGGATCAGCGCCGAGCTCCAGCTGGATCCTGGCGCTGATCCTGGCGCTTCCGCAGAGCCCTGACAGCCCTGCAGCTCCAGCCGTCTCTCGCTCAGGCTTGTGCGGTGCTGCCACCGGTTCAGCTCATTCCCCTCCCCCGCTACCTCTTTTCTAGGATGGTCGCGTATCACCTGCCAGGTGCCAATGTACTACAGGTGGTACCCCTACCACTGGTTGAAATGCCCTGGGCTAGATGACCTCCAAGGTCCCGTCCAGCTCTATTCTATTCTAAGATACTGGACAGCCATTTGTCTGAAATGGTATAAGGGTTTCCTGCCTGAGCAGGGGGTTGGACTAGATGACCTCTTCTATTATTATTATTATTGTTGTTGTTGTTGTTATCTTTGAAATGTATTTATCAATATTCAACTGGGGTGTACAGTTTATGTATATGCTTGTTTTGGGGGGTTTCCACATTTTTGTACAATTTTGCTCTTTTTATTGTTTTTTGTTTCTTTTTGTTTCTTTTTCCTTTTTTGGGGAGTGTGTATCTCAACATTTGGAATAAAAAAAATTGGGAAAAAAAAAAAAAGGAAACGGTTGCTAGATTACCCCCCCCCCCCCTAGCCATTTCAAAGCAGTCGGGAATCTTAACTCACTTGGTGTTTCTCACATCCAGCTGGTATATGGTCCCATCCTGCGTCCCTCCCAGCAGATACGTGTTGGAGAGGAAGGTGCAACAGTTGAAAGCATCCGAACCGATAAAAAGAAAAATCTAAGGAAGAAATCAGAGAGAAAAAAGTGGTCTGACATCTAATCTAAGCCCACCTCCTACTAACACTGATGATGTTACCTAGTTGGGTCATGAAACGTCTGCAAGAAAACCACCCGGCTCAGAGAGCACCAAGGACCCCACAGTCCTTTTTTCCCCTCCCACTTCTCTACAAACCCCCCTCCCTCCTAGCACTGATGATGTTCCCTAGTTGGGTAATGAAATGTCTGCAAGAAAGCAAAATAGAATAGAATAGAATAGAATAGAATAGAATAGAATAGAATAGAATAGAATAGAATAGAATAGAATAGAATAGAATGGAATGGAATGGAATGGAATGGAGTAGAGTAGAGTAGAATAGGAAAGAATAGAATGGAATAGAATAGAATAGAATAGAGTACAATAGGAAATAGAATAGAATAGGAAATAGAATAGAATAGAGTAGAATAGAATAGAATAGGAAATAAAATAGAAAAGGAAATAGAATAGAATAGAATAGAATAGAATAGAGTAGAGTACAATAGGTAATAGAATAGAATAGGAAATAGAATAGAATAGAATAGAATAGGAAATAGAATAGGAAATAGAATAGAAAAGGAAATAGAATAGAATAGAATAGAGTAGAGTAGAATAGAGAATAGAATAGAATAGAGTAGAGTAGAATAGGAAATAGAATAGAATAGGAAATAGAATAGAATAGAATAGGAATTAGAATAGAATAGAGTAGAATAGAGTAGAATAGGAAATAGAATAGAATAGGAAAGAATAGAATAGAATAGGAAATAGAATAGAATATAGAGTAGAATAGGAAATAGAATAGAATAGGAAATAGAATAGAACAGAACAGAACAGAATAGAATATAGACTAGAAAGAACAGAACAGATAATTCAAAAGTCAAATCAGCTCATCTCATAAAGGCTGCTACATCCTAGCTTATCAGATCAGACGCAAAACTCAAGGTAGGAGCAAAAGGGCCGCCTTCCCTTCTCCTGAGATCATTCGCAATCCGGGGCTTCCAAGACGAAAGGAGGAAAACAGGCCGCTTGATCCCAAGTGGAGGAGAAATCTTACCGGCTGCCTGCTTTGTAACCCCACGCCTTGCAGTTTTTTGTCCTCCCGAGCCAACAGCAAGAGCTTCCCTTCCGTGCCAACTTCGCGCTCACCTGCATTGGAAAGAGAGACAGTTCGGCCCGGTGCAGTTGTCCGGCTTCTAGCCTCGTGCCTTAATCACTATATGCGAGGTCTCCAACCTTGGCAACTTTAAAGACTGGTGGACTTCAACTCCCAGAATTCCTCAGCCGGAATTGGATACACCAGAGGTCTCCAAACGTGGCAAATTTAAGACTTATGGACTTCAATTTTATGGCTTGTGGACTTCAACTCCCAGAATTCCCCAGCCAGGCCCTCCAAACCTGGCAACTTTAAGGCTTGGGGCTTCATCTCCCAGAATTCCCCAGCCAGGCCCTCCAAACCTGGCAATTTTAAGGCCTGAGGACTTTATCTCCCAGAATTCCCTGGCCAGGCCCTCCAAACCTGGCACCTTTAAGGCTGGTGGACTTCAATTCCCAGAATTCCTCAGCCGGAATTGGGTACACCAGAGGTCTCCAAACGTGGCAAATTTAAGACTGGTGGACTTCAACTTTAAGGCTTGGGGCTTCATCTCCCAGAATTCCCCAGCCAGGCCCTCCAAACCTGGCATATTTAGGGTTTGCGGACTTCAACTCCCAGAATTCCCCAGGCAGGCCCTCCAAACCTGGCACCTTTAAGGCTTGTGGACTTCAACTCCCAGAATTCCCTAGCCAGGCCCTCCAAACCTGGCAACTTTAAGGCTTGCGTAGTTCACCTCCCAGAATTCCCCAGCCAGGCCCTCCAAACCTGGCAACTTTAGGGCTTGTGGACTTCAACTCCCAGAATTCCCTAACCAGCCAGCATGGTCTTATGGTTAAGACATCAGGTTAAAAGCCAGGCAACTGGGAGTTAATCTTGGGAGTTCTAGTTCTAGCTGAAGTCCGCAAGTCTTCAAGTTGTCAAGTTTGGAGACTTACCCGGTCTAGTGGGTGAGTCTCCCGGGCGGTGGGGAGGGGACAAAGACAACTTTTGGACCGCATGGACTTGTCTTAGGGGTCTTGGGGTCAATGTAGACCCAAGGCTTCTGGGTGTGGGAGTCCATGGCAGACTCTCTCTATGGAGATTCTCCATCATCCAGGTCATGGTTGTCCCAAAGGTGCTTTTTTCAGGAGGCCACTGGACTTTCTTGTTGTTCTTTGAAGACATTTCGCTTCTTATCCAAGAAGCTTCTTCAGCTCTGACTGGATGGTGGGGAAGGGAAGGATTTATACTCCTTGCAGAAAAACTGGTCATTTGCCTCCTTTTAGAGGGTCGTTGAGGCCACTTGGAGGTTTATCTGTGTCCTCAGGGTCACCTGAGTGGTGCAAATGGATGATCTATGTATCTCCAGTCTGCAACACAATCCTTTCAGCAGTTCCAAGAAGGCTCCACACCAATTTGCACCACTCAGGTGACCCTGAGGACACAGATAAACCTCCAGGTGGCCTCAACGGCTCTCTAAAAGAAGCCAAATGACCAGCTGTCTGCAAAGAATATAAATCCTTCCCTTCCCCACCATCCAGTCAGAGCGGATAGTGAAGATGAGAAGCAAAACCCTTTGGGTTTTTCCTTGAAGACGTTTCGCTTCTCATCCAAGAAGCTTCTCCAGCTCTGAGTGGATGGTGGGGAGTGGAAGGATTTATACTCCTTGCAGACAGCCAGTCATTTGCATCCTTTTAGAGAGTTATCATTGAGGCCGCTTGGAGGTTTATCTATGTTTATACAACACGGTCCTTTCAGCAGTTCCAAGAAGGCTCCACACCCATTTGCACCACTCAGGTGACCCTGAGGACACAGACAAACCTCCAAGTGGCCTCAACGACCCTCTAAAAGGATGCAAATGACCAGTTTTTCTGCAAGGAGTATAAATCCTTCCCCACCATTCAGTCCGAGCGGAAGAAGCTTCTTGGATGAGAAGCGAAAGATCTTCAAAGAAAAACAAGGAAGTCCTCCTGAAAAAGGCCCTGAGCCCACCCAGCATGGTCAGGGACTGCGGTTCCCATCCGCCCGTGCTTCGCCAGGCACCATGCTAGAAGCCAGGCAACTGGGAGTTCCGAAAACGAGTTGTGGGTTTTCGGCAGGCCTCAAAAGAGACGCAAAGAGCTTTGTGTCCTGCTTTTAGAAGTAAAAATACAACTCGTTGTAATATGATCACTTACTGGGAAGCTCTCCGGGGGATCCCAAGTTTAACGAGTTGTCTGTGGCATTCAGAGCGATCCCATTGACCGGAGAGCCGCAATCGGCTATAACGCCCAGGCAAGTCAACCGCCCGCAATCCCAAAGTCGCGCTGTGCCGTCCCGTGAGCTGGAGACCACGTTCCTGCCCCTCTCCACAATGGCTGTGTCCAGGATTCCTGCAGGATCATAAAAGAGAAATATTTAGCAAGTCACCTCAGTTGCCGTAGCGGCGCCAGACTGCTGCACACCTGTCACGTGATGCGGCGGGTTTGACACCCGTGGACTAGACCAGGGATAGGCAACCTTGGCTCTTTTATGACTCGTGGACTTCAACTCCCAGAATTCCTGAGCCAGCATGGGAGAAACTTTGGCCCCTTCATGACTCGTGGACTTCAACTCCCAGAATTCCCGAGCCAGCATGAGGGAACTCTGACCCCTTCATGACTTGTGGACTTCAATTCCCAGAATTCCTGAGCCAGCATGGGGGAATCTTTGGCCCCTTCATGACTCGTGGACTTCAACTCCCAGAATTCCTCAACCAGCATGGGGGAACCTTGGCCCCTTCATGACTCGTGGACTTCAACTCCCAGAATTCCTGAGCCAGTATGGGGAAAACTTTGACCCCTTCATGACTCGTGGACTTCAATTCCCAGAATTCCTGAGCCAGCATGAGGGAAACTTTGGCCCCTTCANCTTTGGCCCCTTCATGACTCGTGGACTTCAACTCCCAGAATTCCTGAGCCAGCATGGGGAAAACTTTGACCCCTTCATGACTCGTGGACTTCAATTCCCAGAATTCCTGAGCCAGCATGAGGGAAACTTTGGCCCCTTCATGACTTGGGGACTTCAACTCCCAGAATTCCTCAGCCAGCATGGGGGAACTATGGCCCCTTCATGACTGGTGGACTTCAACTCCCAGAATTCCTGAGCCAGCATGGCTCAGCTTGGAAACCTCTCCCTTTCCCCTCAGCATGGCTGGCTCAGGAATTCTGGGAGTCCACAAGTCATAAAAGAGCCAAGGTTGTCTACCCCTGATCTAGTCACTTGTCTGAGATTATATAGGTTCTTCTGCTTGCACAGGGGGCTGGACTAGAAGACCTCTAAGGTCCCTTCCAACTCTGTTATTCTGTTTAATGAAAAGAAGGACCAGGGGTGACATGACAGCAGTCTTCCAATATTTGAGAGGCTGTCACAAAGAAGAGGGGGTCAACCTATTCTCCAAAGCACCCGGAGGCAGGAGAAGAAGCAACGGATAGTAACTAATCAAGGGGAGAAACAACCTGGAATTAAGGAGGAATTTCCTGACAGTGAGGACAATTAACCAGTGGAACAGCTGACCTCCAGAAGTTGTGGGTGCTCCATCACTGGAAGTTTATAAGAAGAGACTGGACGGCCATTTATCTGAAATGGTCTAGGCTCTCCTGCTTAAGCTGGGGGTTCGACTAGAAGACCTCTATGGTCCCTGATGATGTTCTATGTTTAGCCCAACCGATTGATCCACATGGGACAGTTGAGACGCAATCCTTCAAACTTCAGCCAGATATGCAGCCGGCTTCATTCAACGCAACGCTGGGCTGACCGCAATGCTCGCTTCTCTGTACCTGCTTTGTGTCCTTGGAACGTTGCGACGCAGCTGCCGCTTTCTGCAGACCAGATCTTCAGCCTGGCGTCCATCCCTCCGCTCAGCACCACGATGCCCGACGGGAAAAATCGACAACAATTCACATCGTAGACGTGACCTTCCAAAATCCTCTGAAAAGACAGTGAATTGAACACATGGCATCCTTGCTAATTGGGACCGGAAGCTTTTCTTGCTAAGCAAGGCGGTTGTTAAAACGATTCAGACCACATAGCTGGCTGGGGGATTCTGGGAAATGAAGTCCACCCTTCTGAGGTTGAGAAACACCGGCTCGGACAATACTTACTCTAACCTCCCCGTTAGCGGCTTGCCAAATTTTCATCGTGCCGTCAGCGCTGGTGGATACTCCGAGCCCACCTCCGCTGGAAATGTCGAGACAGGTGATCTAAAATTAAGACAGAACAAGAGAGGTGAAAAATAAATAGGGCTCAAGCTATTCTCCAAAGCGCCTGAAGGCAGGACAAGAAGCAACGGATGGAAACTCATCAAGGAGAGAAGCAACCTAGAACTAAGGAGAAACTTCCTGACAGTTAGAACAATTAACCAGTGGAACTACCTGCCTCCAGAAGTGGTGAGTGCTCCATCACTGGAGGCTTTTAAGAGATTGGAAGGCAGACAGGGTTGGATCAGAAGGCTAAAGTCTCTTCCAACTGTGTTATTTGGCTATTATTATTATTATTATTATTATTATTATTATTATTATTATTATCATCATCATCATCATCATCATCATCATCATCATCATCATCATCATCATCATATCTTGGCCATGTCTAGCTTAACAAAAAGCTTATTCTGTTTAATAAAAAGAAGGATTAGGGGTGACATGACAGCAGTCTTCCAATATTTGAGGGGCTGCCACAAAGAAAAGTGGGTCAAGCTCTTCTCCAAAAGACTGAAGGCAGGACAAGAAGCAACGGATGGAAACCGACCAAGGAGAGAAGCAACCTGGAACTAAGGAGAAACTTCCTGACAGTTAGAACAATTAACCAGTGGAACAACCTGCCACCAGAAGCGGTGAATGCTCCAACACTGGAAGTTTTTAAGAAAAGACTGGACAGTCACTTTTCTGAGATGGTATAGGTTCTCTTGCTTGTGCGGTGGGCTGGACTAGAAGACCTCCAAGGTCCCTTCCAGCTCTGCTCTATTCTATTCTATTTTGTTCTGTTCTGTTCTATTCCTATTTCTTTTCTATTTCTTTTCTAATTCTATTCTATTCTATTTCTATATTCTATTCTGTTCCATTCTATTTTATTCCATTCCATTCCATATTCCATTCCATTCGGTTCCATATTCCATTCCATATTCCATTCCATATTCCATTCCATTTGATTCCATATTCCATTCCATTCCATTCCATTTTCTATTGTATTCTATTCTATTCTATTCTATTTCTATATTCTATTCTGTTCCGTTCCATTCTATTTTATTCCATTCCATTCTGTATTTCATTCCATATTGCATTTCATTCCATTCCATATTTTCTATCCTATCCTATCCTATCCTATCCTATCCTATCACTGGAGATTTTTAAGAAGAGATTGGACAACCACTTGTCTCAACCGGTATAGGTCCAGGGTCTCCTGCACGGGCAAGGGGTTAGACTAGAAGACCTCCAAGGTCCCTTCCAATTTTGCTATTCCGTTCATTTATTTTAACCTTAGAGGGAGAGGTTGCTATGGAGATTGGAAAGTGTCACTCAGTCCTGGGAAAACCGGAAGCACGAGGAAGTGATTCAGAACAGTCCTACCTTAACCTCAGGGTCCTTAGAAAGAACCAATGAAGGTGTGGGAGATGCTTTCAAGATTCAGTTAATGCACCTTCTGTTGCTGGAAGGAGAGGTAGTCCTTGACATACGACCGTAATGAAGCCTGCCCATTACAGTCCTGGGTCACAATGCTTGGGAGACAGGTCAGTCATGTGACTGCAGGGGTCATTAAGCCAACGTCGCCGTAACAAAGCGAGCCATGGATTTGGTAAAAACCGTAAGGGTTTACATATAAACGATATCGTGTTATTAAGTAGATGATTCAATAGGGTGGGAAATAGATAACTCTTAGGGAATAGAACCAGATTGCATTCAAATAGATAAAACGTGTCTTTTGGATATTATAGTTTGTTACGAAGTGAGATAAGGGAAATTTCGGTTACCCAAAGTCTGAAAATTAAAAATGTCACCGGTGAAATTGGAAGAGGGATAAGAAATTAAAAAGTGAGTAAAAAAAATCAATAACAGGAGATGGATGGTTCATGAAGATAGAATGTAATTAAGATGTGTATAAGCCAGTGGTTCTCAACCTTTTTAATGCCACGACCCCAACCGGTCGTAAGTCGAGGACTAAACCGGTCGTAAGTCAAGGACTAAACCGGTCGTAAGTCGAGGACTAAACCGGTCGTAAGTCGAGGACTACCCAACCGGTCGTAAGTCGAGGACTTTCCCTGCACGGGCGCGCCGCGCATGCGTGGTTCCGCCCCCTGCGCCGGCCGAGGTGTAGCTGGCAAGTGGCAGAGACGGAGCAGGTCAACCACCAGCTGGCCCAGCTCAAGGGAGGTAAGGCACCCGCTGGAAAAGGGAAAAAAATGGCGGACAAAAAAATGGCGGACAAAAAAAATGGCAGACAGCCTTGCTTGGCGACCCCCGTGAAATGGTCGATCGACCCCAAATGGGGTCCCAACCCACAGGTTGAGAACCACTGGTATAAGCTAAAAATTTATCGATAGGTGTAATAATGATGTTCTTACTGAGTTGATATAATTAGAAATGTACTAACCTGAATATGCTATGGCAAATCTAGACAGCATACCTAAAAGCAGAGACGTCACCCTGCCAACAAAAGTGCGTAGAGTCAAGGCCGTGGTTTTCCCAGTTGCAATGTATGGCTGTGAAAGTTGGACCGTAAGAAAGGCTGAGCGCCAAAGAATGGAGGCCTTTGAACTCTGGTGCTGGAGAAGACTCCTGCGAGTCCCCTGGACTGCAAGGCGATCCAACCGGTCAGTCCTAGAGGAGATCAACCCTGACTGCTCTTGAGAAGGCCAAATCCTGAAGTGGAAACTCAAGTACTTTGGCCACCTGATGAGAAGGAAGGACTCCCTGGAGAAGGGCCTGATGCTGGGGAAGATGGAGGGCAAGAGAAGAAGAAGGGGACGACAGAGAAGGAGGTGGCTGGATGGAGTCCCTGAAGCAGGAGGCAGGAGCTTCAATGGACTCCAGAAGATGGTAGAGGACAGGAAGGCCTGGAGGAACGTGGTCCATGGGGTCGCGATGGGTCGGACACGACTTCGCAACTAACAACAACAAAAACAACAACCTGAATACGAGACAGTAAATGTTCAGGGAAAAAGAGAAAGGAATATTTGATGTTGTAACCTGAGATTTGCACTAAGATTCTGTTACTGGGCTATTGATTCAAGTTGCTTTTTAAATATTCAAAGGTAAAATTGGAAAATTAATAAAATATTAGATTAAAAAAAATTGTAAGGTGTGGGTTTTTTTTTTTTAAATCCTGCCTTTATTTCCTTGAATAGTCCTTCCAAAAAAAGGCGGTAAAAGAATACGTACGCTTTTCTGATGGATCCTGCAGAAGGCAGTGTAGGGTGCCAGAACTTTGGTAGAGGTGTTTTCCCGTGAGCAGGAAATGAGCAGACATTTCTGAAGCAGGCAGAAAAAGGAAAATAGGATACAACAATAAAGATGGGCCAAAAGCAGATTGTTCTCAATGTTTGTTCGTTCATTCATTCGTTCATCGCAAAAATCTAAAAACTTGAGAGGTCAAGCTGGATTTTTAGTAAGCAGGCCAACGATAGTTTCATCAAAAAAGGCAAGAGGGTGTCATACTTAATTTATTATTGATTTAATCCCCGCCTTTTATTATTTTAATAAGTAACTCGAGGTAGTGAATATACCTCATACGTCTTCCTCCTATTTTGCCCACAACGACAACCCTGCAAGGAGGGTTGGGCTGAGAGAAACTGATGGGTTGTGTCTGACTAGTCATGCCTAAGGTAGGACTAGAACTCACCAGCTCCTGATGTTTGGCCCAAAGTCACCCAGTTGGCTTTCATACCTAAGGTGGGATTAGAACTCACTGTCTCCTGGTGACTGGCCCAACGTCACCCAGCTGGCTTCCATGCCTAAGGCGGGACTAGAACTCACTGTCTCCTAGTGTTTGGCCCAAAGTCACCCAGCCGGTTTTCATGCCTGCGGCGGGACTAGAACTCACCGTCTCCTGGTGACTGGCCCAAAGTCACCCAGCTGGCTTTGATACCCAAAGCAGAACTAGAACTCACCTTCTCCTGGGTTCTAACCTGGCGCTTTAACCGCTAGATCATACTTAACCTCCTCTCCCATTTCTTATATTATTTTACCTCAGGTTCCCTCCTCCCAGATTTAAATCCTCCATCAGTGTAGCCCAGTATTTATTTCTCAGCCATGGGGACTTTAAGCTGTGGACTTCAGCTCCCAGAATTCCCCAGCCAGCTGTGCTGGCTGGGGAATTCTGAGAGTTGAAGTCCAAGTAGTTTAAAGCCGCCAAGGTTGAAAACTACAGGGCTGTGCATCGAATGACATGACCTACGGTTCACAAATACGCCTGCCTTTCCACGGAACGTGATTTTGGGGGGAAAGAAATATCACCAGGCTCCGATTTTAGGCCATACCTTAGTTACTGCACTGGCTTCAAATCCTTCGGAGGCTACAATTTCAGGAATCCCGTCTGGGCTCAGACCGTGGCAGGTCAGAGTTCCATATAAAGTTGGTTTCCCTAAAGGAGAAGAAGAAGTGGTATTGTCTGGAACGGAATAGAATAGAATAGAATAGAATAGAATAGAATAGAATAGAATTACTGAATAGAATTACTGAATAGAATTACTGAATAGAATAGAAACATAGAATAGAATTACTGAATAGAATAGAATTACTGAATAGAATTACTGATAGAATTACTGAATAGAATAGAAACATAGAATAGAATTACTGAATATAATTACTGAATAGAATAGAATAGAATAGAATAGAATAGAATAGAGTAGAATAGAATAGAATAGATATTGGAATATAGAATAGAATAGAACAGAATAGAATAGAACAGATATTGGAATATAGAATAGAATAGAACAGAATAGAATAGAATAGAACAGATATTGGAATATAGAATAGAATAGAATAGAATAGAATAGAATAGATATTGGAATATAGAATAGAATAGAATAGATATTGGAATATAGAATAGAATAGAATAGATATTGGAATATAGAATAGAATAGAACAGAAATATAGAATAGAATAGAAACAGAATAGAATAGAATAGATATTGGAATATAGAATAGAACAGAACAGAAATATAGAATAGAATAGAAACATAATAGAATAGAATAGAATAGAATAGAATAGAATAGAATAGAATCTCAGAATTTACCTGTGTCCTCAGGGTCACCTGAGTGGTGCAAATGGGTGTGGAGCCTTCTTGGAACTGCTTTCAGCACACCCATTTGCACCACTCAGGTGACCCTGAGGACACAGGTAAACCTCCAGGTGGCCTCAACAACCCTCTAAAAGGATGCAAATGACCAGCTGTCTGCAAGGAGGATAAATCCTTCCCTTCCCCACCATCCAATCAGAGCTGAAGAAGCTTCTGAGATGAGAAGTGAAACATCTTCCAAGAAAAAACAAGAAAGTCCAGTTGCCTCCTGGAAAAAAAAAACGCCTTTGGGTGAACCATGACCTGGAACGATGGAGAATCTCCATAGACATTTAGGATGGAGGAAAAGAAAGAACTGGAGCCCCTTGACAGAATCGTGCGACAACAGTAGGAGAGGCAGGTTTTTCTTACTCACCTGGACTCCGGCAGCTCAACCAAACCTCCTCCTCATTTCTCCTGGAAAAATGGAGGGGAGGGGAGGGAAGAGGGAAATAACCCATTAGCCCAGAATCATGTGACTGGGAGATGAGAGACGTGTACATTTAATAAATAAAAGCAATCATTCAAAGGACTTTGCTCTTGCATCCAGACGGCCAAGGGCTTTCCTACTTGTAAAGTAAACGGGGTTTAGTGTGGTGTTTCTCAAACTTGGCAACTTTAAGATGGGTGGACTGCAACTCCAATTCCCCAGCCAGGGGAAGGCTAGAGACTAGTTGGCAGCAAGTGGTTTTCTAACTTAGAAAGGCTGAATAGGGTCAGAAGTGGATTATAGTAACAGCAGAATAGACTAAACTAGAAATACAGAATAGAATAGAATAGAAATACACAATAGACTAGACTAGACTAGACTAAAGAATAGAATAGAATAGAAATACAAATAGACTAGATTAGACTAGACTAAGGAATAGAATAGAATAGAATAGAAATACAAATAGACTAGACTAGACTAAGGAATAGAATAGAATAGAATAGAATAGAAATACAAATAGACTAGTCTAGACTAAGGAATAGAATAGAATAGAATAGAATAGAATAGAATAGAAATACAAATAGACTAGACTAGACTAGAATAAGGAGTAGAGTAGAGTAGAATAGAATTTGAATCTGGCAGATTGGAGGGGGGCAACCAAGAAAGGGCAAAAAGCTACTCCTGGTGGTGACATTTCCATGCAGAATTCAAGACGCCTCAGAGTCTAGTTTGAAAAAACTGGGTAATACATAAATATTTTTCATTTACCCGTCCTATCTCTAAACCACCCATCTCCCTCAAAGAGGAATATCGTTAATATTATTAACGATTAGGATTGTGGAACTAGACCTCATTGACTCCTGGGGCTTCCCAAAACCTTAGCAATTTAATGGGACATTTTTTTGGGGGGAGGGGGAAGAATCCAAATATTCGTTGCCTAGCAACAGGAAGGTGGATCCCCCTTTGGATCCCCCTTCTGGAAGATTCCTAGTGGATCCCCAAAGGCTACCAATCAATGGGCAGAGAAGGGGAGCAGAAGGGGGAACCCCACAGGTGAAGCATGGGTGGTGTAGTCCCTGAGCATGCTGGATGGAAGCTGGATCCCCTTTGGATCCCCTTCTGGAAGATTCCTAGTGGATCCCCAAAGGCTACCAATCAACGGGCAGAGAAGAGGAGCAGAAGGGGGGAGCCCCACAGGTGAAGCATGGGTGGTGTAGTCCCTGAGCATGCTGGACGGGCACACTGCCTTCCCTGCCTTGGACTCCCGCACCCAGAAGGCTGGGTCTATATTGACCCCCAAGACTCCCCCCCATGGGCTCCAAAGTTTGCCTTTGGGAGCTTCCCCCCCACCAGACTCTGCCCTGATTTTTCCCTTCAGGGATCTCCAGATGGTCTCGTTTCCCCGCCAGGCCCGCCGCCAGGCCGAGGGGCGTGGCCGGCGTCGCGGTGGGCGTGGCTTCCCCACCTCAAGACCTGGTCCCAGTCGCTCTGGATCCGCAGCACCGGCGCCTGCGCCATCTTCGCAGCAGCCTCGGCCCCGCCCCGGAAGCCGCCGCCCGGGGACCGCCCCCCGGAAGGCCCGGGCGCCGCCCACCACGGAAGCAGCTTGGCGAGCGGCGAGGCGGAGGCGGCGGTTGGAGGCGCTCGCGGAGGTGGGCGGGGCTACGGGGTGGTTGGGGGGGGCGGAGCGGGCGCTTCCTTCTCGATGTTTTATTGGCCGAAGAGGTAAAAATGAAGTAATTGCGGGGTCTAAGGCAGAAACGGGCGACTAGGGCCCCTTTGGGACCGGTGGACTTCAACTCCCAGCATTCCTGCTTCCTCCATTGACTTTGCTGGTTGGGAGCCATGCTGGCTGAGGGATTCTGGGAGTTGTAGTACACAGGTCGCAAAGGAGCCATAGTTAGATCAGGAATTCTGGGAGTTGAAGCCCACAGCTGGTAAAGGGGCCATAGATGCTGGCTCAGGGATTCTGGGAGTTGTAGTACACAGCTGGCAAAGGGGGCCATAGTTAGCTCAGGAATTCTGGGAGTTGAAGTACACAGCTGGTAAAGGGGCCATAGTTGCTGGCTCAAAGATTCTGGGAGTTGTAGTACACAGCTGGTAAAGGGGCCATACATGCTAGCTGAGGGATTCTGGGAGTTGTAGTACACAGGTCGAAAAACAGCCATAGTTAGATCAGGAATTCTGGGAGTTGAAGTCCACAGCTGGCAAAGAGGCCATAGTTGCTGGCTCAGGGATTCTGGGAGTTGTAGTACACAGCTGGTAAAGGGGCCATAGATGCTGGCTCAGGGATTCTGGGAGTTGAAGTCCACAGGTCGCAAAGGAGCCATAGTTAGATCAGGAATTCTGGGAGTTGTAGTCCACAGCTGGCAAAGGGGCCATAGTTGCTGGCTCAGGGATTCTGGGAGTTGTAGTCCACAGGTTGCAAAGGAGCCATAGATGCTGGCTCAGGGATTCTAGGAGTTGAAGTCCACAGCTGGACTTTCCATTTCCATTGCTAAGCAAGACAGTCATTAAGTGAGTTGTGTCCCATTTTACGACCTTTTCGCCGTGGTTATGAAGCGAATCGCTAGAGTTCTTAAGTGAATGATGCGGTCCTTAAATGAACCTGGCTTCCCCCATTGACTTTGCTTGTCAAAAGGTCGCCAAAGGGGATCACAGGACCCCGGGGACACAGCAACGGTCGTTAAGTATGAAGCAGTTGCCAAACAGCCGAATTTTGATCACGTGATCACGCGGCTGCTACAAAGGTGGTGAAGTGTGGAAAATGGCCGTCAGTCACTTTTTCCGGTGCTGTTGCGACTTGGAACGGTTGCCGAATGAACCGCTGTAAGCCGAGGACTGCCTGTATAAGTCTAAGTGCTGTTGCTGCTCTTTTTGTAGTGCCGTCGTAACTTCGAACGGTCACTAAATGAACGGCTGTAAGCCGAGGACTGCCTGTCATTGCATGAAAAGAACTGTTCAAGGTTAAAAAGTAAACTTTAAAAAGTTAAAAGAACGGCTGGGTTAGGGGGTGACAACCACCGTTGGCTTGAGTAGCTTCACACTGGTGTAGCTACTACAAGGATTTTTTTTTTTTTAAGCAACGGCTGGGGGGGGGATGTCTCCTTTCCCCAGATCTGCCAGGATGTCTGGCCACAGCTGGAGCCAGAAGACGAAAGCAAGGAAGGAGGAAGAGGAGGAGGAGGAGGAGGAAGAGGCAGACCCTTTTGACCAGATGATCCAGCACACGGGTTGCGCCGCTTTCCATTACGCCGTGATGGAGTGCATGGCGGAGCACCAGGACTGGCGCAAGTGCCAGGAGCCGGTGCAGAGTTTTCGGACCTGCATGGCGGAACACCAGAAGCGGCGAGCGGAAGAGATGCGGGAGAGGCAGGAGCGGCACCAGGCCGCCAGCTGACCAGTCGGTCTGCTAGACACCCAAGGCCGCAGAACAATCCGGGCACGGCAGGGCTGGCGCTGGACGGAGCCGTCACGGATTCGGAAATTTGGAAAAAGCTCGTGGTTTTTTTTTTGTAGGCATCGTTGTGTACACTGTTAATACAAAAACGGCATGGAATTCTTTTGTTTTATTTATTTTGCTTTCAATAGGAAAAACGTGACGTTCCCCCCGTTCGTCGTTTGAGGTATCGGCAGGGTTTTCCCAATCTGGTGCAGTTCCTAGGATTTCATCGCTGAGAATTCTGGGAGTTGATCTAGAAATCGTCCCGTAAAGGAGAATATTTATAGCTCAAGGTTGAAATGAGTGGTCCTGGTTGCTCCCGGATGGCTGTTTTCTCACAGACGTTTCGTTGCCCGAACAAGGTGACTGATGATGTTACCTAGTTGGGTACTGAAACGTCCACAAGAAAAGAACCCAGCTCAGAGAGCACCAAGGATCTCTCGGAAATTGTCCAGATTGAGAAAAACGGCAAGAAGGGAATGTCTTTTCCAGTCTGATATCCTCCAGAAGAGTGCAATTTCTAAATAATAATGGTGGGATACGGGGGAGGGAGGGAAGGAAGGAAGGAAGGAGAATGAAAGGGAAGGAAGGAAGGAAGCAGAATGGGAGGGAGGGAAGGAAGGAAGGAGAATGGGAGGGAAGGAAGGAGAATGGGAGGGAGGGAAGGAAGGAAGGAGAATGGGAGGGAGGGAAGGAAGGAAGGAGAATGGGAGGGAGGGAAGGAAGGAAGNAAGGAAGGAAGGAGAATGGGAGGGAGGAAAGGAAGGAGAATGGGAGGGAGGAAAGGAAGGAGAATGGGAGGGAGGAAAGGAAGGAAGGAGAGAATGGGAAGGAAGAAGAATGGGAGGAAGGAAGGAAGGAGAATGGGAGGGAGGGAAGGAAGGAAGGAAGAATGGGAGGGAAGGAAGGAGAATGGGAGGAAGGGAAGGACAAATGGCTGTCCAGTCTCTTCTTAAAAACTTCCAGTGTTGGAGCATTCACCGCTTCTGGAGGCAGGTGGTTCCACTGGTTAATTGTCCTCACTGTCAGGAAGTTTCTCCTTAGTTCCGGGTTGCTTCTCTCCTTGATGAGTTTCCATCCGTTGCTTCTTGTCCTGCCTTCAGGTGCTTTGGAGAATAGCTTGACTCCCTCTTCTTTGGGGCAGCCCCTGAGATATTGGAACGCTGCTATCCTGTCCCCCCTCGTCCTTCTCTTCATTAAACCAGACAGACCCAATTCCTGCAACCGTCCTTCATATGTTTTTCCCATTTACAGTAACACAACTGATTCCTGTCTAAAAGCAGCTCCATTTGAAAAGGTTTTGCATTTAAAGGACAAGGTGGTCAAAAGGAGCCTTGCAAGGCAGGTGCATCCCTCTCTGGTGGGTGGAAGAGAAATTCTCTCGACTAAATTGGTGCTAAGGAAGATGAATAATTCAGGGTCTGTACTGTAGAGAGAACTGGGCCGATACAATCACTTCCGGTGCGCAGACGCTGCAACGTTAGTTTGCCCTGAAAAGGACTTTTTGGACAGCAGCACGTGGAGAATACGTACTTTGCTACACATTGGCTTTTTCCTGCTTTTTATTTTTTGTTTTAAAAATCGCTTTTAAAAGAACCTTATTGGAGGTGCAAGGGGCTGGGTGATGCTGCAGGATGGGAAGGCTATGTAGTAGTAGTAGTAATAGTAATAATAGTAATAATAGTAATAATAGTAATAATAGTAATAATAGTAATAGTAATAGTAATAATAATAATAATAATAATAATAATAAAAAAAAAAAAAAAAAAGCTGGAAGGGACCTTGGTGGCCATTTCAGATAAATGGCTGTCCAGTCTCTTCGAATAGAATAGAGTTGGAAGGGACCTTAGAGGCCATCTAGTCCAGCCCCCTGCTCAGGCAGGAAACCCTACACCATTTCGGACAAATGGCTGTCCAGTCTCTTCTTAAAAACTTCCAGGGTTGGAGCATTCACTGGCACAGGAATTCTGGCCTTTGAAGTCCAGCGATTACTGACTGGGCTAGAGAATTTCACAGGTCACCATCTTGCTTCAGGGACGCACAGAAATGGAGCTGCGCGCAACTGCGCATGGGCTTGCCGGCCGCTTGCACGGAAACATACCCTCTCCTCCCGCCCTACCCCCACCGGTCCACAAAGCCGGAAACATTGGGGAGCTCTGCTTTATAACCCTCTCTAAGCGGTTTACAGAGCCTCTTCCCCCAACAATCTGGGTCCTCACTTTACCGACCTCGGAAGGACAGAAGGCTGAGTCAACCTTGAGGCGGTCAGGATCGAACTGCTGGCAGTGGGCAGAGTTAGCCTGCAATTACTGCATTCTAACCACTGGGAGGGAGGAAGGAAGGAAGGAAGGAAGGAAGGAAGGAAGGAAGGAAGGAAGGGCAATAGCCCTTAGACTTATATACTGCTTCACAGTCCTTTACAGCCCTCTCTAAGTGGTTTACAGAGTTAGCGTATTTGCCCCCAACAATCTGGGTCCTCACTTTACCGATCTCGGAAGGACGGAAGGCTGAGTCAACCTTGAGCAGGTCAGGATCGAACTCCTGGCAGTCGGCAGAGTTAGCCTGCAATTACTGCATTCTCACCACTGGGAGGGAGGGAAGGAAGGTAGCAACAGTACGTAGACTTATATACCGCTTCACAGTGTTTTACAGCCCTCTCTCTAAGCAGTTTACAGAGTCAGCCTCTTGCCCCCGACAAGCTGGGTCCGCACTTTACCGACCTCGGAAAGACGGACGGCTGAGTCGGCCTAGATCAGTGGTTCTCAACCTGTGGGTCGGGACCCCATTTGGGGTCGATCGACCATTTCACGGGGGTCGCCAAGCAAGGCTGTCCGCCATTTTTTTTGTCCACCATTTTTTTTTGTCTGCCATTTTTCCCCCTTTTCCGGCGGGTGCCTTACCTCCCTTGGGCTGGGCCAGCTGGTGGTCGGCCTGCTCCGTCTCTGCCGCTTGCCAGCTACGCCTCGGCTGGCGCAGGGGGCGGAACCACGCATGCGCGGCGCTCCCGGGCAGGAAAAGTCCTCGACTTACGACCGGTTGGGTAGTCCTCAACTTACGACCGGTTTAGTTCTCGACTTATGACCGGTTTAGTCCTCGACTTACGACCGGTTGGGGTCGCAGCATTAAAAAGGTTGAGAACCACTGGCCTAGACTGAATTTACCACTTACTGCTGGCAGTCGGCAGAATTAGCCTGCAATACTGCATTATAACCACTGAACCACCATGGCGCTAATTAACACTTATCATCCCAGGTGCCGTTTGCACACCTTGCAGTGTCACTCGTGTTTCCACCCTAACTGTAAAGATTAGAGTTGGTTTAAGATTGTTGAGTTCAAGAACATTCATTCGACTGCAGCTGCAGAACCTGTTTAATGTTCCCAGTTACATTGGGGTTTCTCAGCCGTGGCAATTTGAAGATGGGTGGACTCTTAACTCCCAGAATTCCCCAGCCAGCCATGCTGGCTGGGGAATTCTGGGAGTTGAAGTCCACCCTGTGCTGGCTGGAGAATTGTGGGAGCTGAAGTCCACCCGTGCTGGTTGAGGAAGTCCGGAAGGATGGCTTCGACCGACGAAAAGCATAATCGGCTATCGGCCCGTCTCACTGTACTTGGCCCGAAGCTCATCCAGTTCGGTGCGGACCTTAAGTCGAATCCTGAAGTCTTCCTCCGTGTGCTGAAAGAAACAAACATTAGAACATTGAGACTTTGGAAAGAGTACAGAGAAGAGCAACAAAGATGATCAGGGGACTGGAGGCTAAAACATATAAGGAACGGTTGCTGGAATTGGGTCTGTCTAGTTTAATGGAAAGAAGGACGAGGGGGGACAGGATAGCAGCCTTCCAGTATCTCAGGGGCTGCCCCAAAGAAGAGGCAGTCAAGCTATTCTCCAAAGCGCCTGAAGGCAGGACGAGAAGCAACGGGTGGAAACTAATCAAGGAGAGAAGCAATCTAGAACTAAGGAGAAACTTCCTGACAGTTAGAACAATTAACCAGTGGAACAACCTGCCTCCAGAAGCGGTGAATGCTCCAACACTGGAAGCTTTTAAGAAGAGACTGGACAGCCATTTGTCCGGAATGGTATAGGGTTTCCTGCCTGAGCAGGGGGTTGGACTAGATGACCTTCAAGGTCCCTTCCAACTTTACTATTATTATTATTATTATTATTATTATTATTATTATTATTATTATTATTATTATTATTATTATTATTATTAGGATCTCAGACCATGCACAATGGTGGTGGCTTCAGAAAGTTGCAAAGTCTTTGTACCCGCCAAAGTTTAGATCACCTGAGCCAGCGGTCCCGAATCTTTACGGCCCGGCTGGGGGGGGAAGAGAGGGAAATTGGGCAATGCAGGCGACGGGCTGGCTCAAACGGAGGTGCACGCACGCCTGGAGCCCCTGCGTGAGTGGCGCACACGTGCATAATTTGCGCAAGCGGGTCGGTGCACACACGAGTGCCTGCCGGCCTGCCGCTCGGGCAAGTTGAGCTGCGCACGCACGCAGGCACACTCCGGCCAGCCACTTGCGTGGTCCAATTCTGAATAGGCCACGGCCCGGGAGTGGGCCGTGGCCCAGTGATGGGGGGGAAGCCCTGATCGAAGCAATATAAAATTTATCGGAGACCGAGGCTGGATTTGTGCATTAAACTTGGCTTAAAAAAACGGAACACTCTTAGAAATCTAGCTTTTAACTTGGTTTGTGTCAGGGTTGATCGGAATGTGGTCCAGAGGATTCTAGGGCTGCTTGGGAAATTGATGGCGTTCCATGAGAGGTTTGTTAATACACAGCCGGTTTTATATCGGGCTTTCAAGCACTGATGATGTTCCCTAGTTGGGTCATGAAACGTCTGCAAGAAAGCAACCAAGCTCAGAGAGCACCAAGGACCTCAAAGTCCTTCCTTCCTTCCTCCTCCTCCTCCTCCTCTCCACAAACCCCACTCCCTTCTAGCACTGATGATATTACCTAGTTGGGTCATGAAACGTCTGCAAGAAAACCACCAAGCTCAGAGAGTAGCAAGGACCCCACAGTCTTCCTCCNCCTTAAACAGAAATCAAATGGAACATTATCTTCCCTGCCTGTACCCCACCTCAAAAGTGTGTAAATTTTGGAATAACTGTTGCAGAAAGGAATCAAGATGTTTCAGAGTAGAAAACCTTGGGATATACAGAAATGGATAAAACCTTCCTTCCTTCCTTCCTTCCTTCCTTCCTTCCTTCCTTCCTTCCTTCCTTCCTTCTAGCACTGATGATGTTACCTAGTTGGGTCATGAAATGTCTGCAAGGAAATAACCCAGCTCAGAGACCACCAAGGACCCCACAGTCCTTCCTCCTCCTCCTCCTCATCCTCCTCCTCCTCCTCCTCCTCCTCCTCCTCCATGTTTCGAAGTTATTGAGGTTAAATTTATTGATGGTTTCAATTACTTTATTCTCAATTTAAACGTTTCAATAAGCATCCACATACCTCTTTCACTAATAGATGGACTCCTTCGGGCAGGTTATTCTGAATAATTTCCAAGAAAATAGGACTAAACGTGGCAGCCAACTGTTTAATCTGGAGGAACGGAGAAGAATCGTTTTTCCAGCGGAAAAGAGAAAACCCAATTTGCAGCGTTGGACATATGATTGCGACCTATTGAGTTATCTGTTGTTGTTTTTTTTTAATGCCACCTAATTTATACGAGACTTCCCCCTCTTTCTGTTTCGGAAGATCACTAGTACAAAAAATCAGCCCCAATTAAAGTCTCCATAAAGATAATAAAACAATACCAGTAGTCCTCAATTTACCGTCACTTCTTTAGTGACCGTTTGAAGTTAAAACGGCGCTGAAAAAAAAAGGGACTTGTGATGAGTCCTCCCACTTATGACCATATCACCACGGTCGCGCGAAAAAAATTGGGTGCTTGGCAAATTTATGAGGGATACAGCATTCAAGGGTCACACGCTTGTCATTTGTGACCTTCCCAGCTTCCAACAAGCAAAGTTAAGGGAGGGATTCGCTTAATAACCGTGTGATTCACTTAACGACTGCAGGGAGTAACTGTAGCAAAAACCGTAAAATTGGGTACCACTTACTTAACAGCCGTGTTGCTTAGCAATAGACATTCGGATCCCAATTAGGGACGTAAGTTGAGGACTACCTACACCAAGGACATTAACTGGGTTCCTTCTAGCGCAGGGGTAGGCAACCTTGGCTCTTTTATGACTCGTGGATTTCAACTCCCAGAATTCCTGAGCCAGCATGAGGGAAACTTTGGCCCCTTCATGACTCGTGGACTTCAACTCCCACAATTCCTGAGCCAGCATGGGGGAACTATGGCCCCCTCATGACTCGTGGACTTCAACTCCCAGAATTCCTGAGCCAGCATGGCTCAGCTTGGAAACCTCTCCCTTTCCCCTCAGCATGGCTGGCTCAGGAATTCTGGGAGTTGAAGTCCACCAGTCATGAAGGGGCCATAGTTCCCCCATGCTGGCTCAGGAATTCTGGGAGTTGAAGTCCGCCAGTCATGAAGGGGCCATAGTTCCCCCATGCTGGCTGAGGAATTCTGGGAGTTGAAGTCCACGAGTCATGAAGGGGCCATAGTTCCCCCATGCTGGCTCAGGAATTCTGGGAGTTGAAGTCCACAAGTCATGAAGGGGCCAAGGTTGCTTACCCCTGCCTTAAGAACTCTGGCAAGAAAAGGGGGGCCAAGACTCACTTAACAACTGCCTCGCTTAGCGGCATCAATCTGGGGTGCCACTGTGATCGTCAACTTGAGGACCAACTGTAGTGTGGAAAATAAATGCAGAAAGGCAATTTACCTGGACGACGCGCTGGTGACTCGTAAGAATGGCGTCCACGCGGAGTTTGTTGTCATGTTCCCCGGTCAACACCAGCTCTTCAGTCTTCGTGGGCATGGCGTAGCTGGGGGAGAAGCAGAGGAAGACACGGGGGGGGGGGGGGATTACAGGTAGTCCTCGACTTACGACAACTGCCATCAAAATTTCCACTGCTAAGCGAGACCGTCGTACCCGCCAGAGGCATTTTGGCCTGTTTATTTCTTAGGTTCGTATCCGACTTTCCTATAATCGGAGTTCAAACGCGCTGGTAGTCCTCGGCTTACGGCCGCAACTGAGCCCCCGTTTTCTGCTGAGACCGTTGTGAAGTGAGTTTTGTCCCATTTTGCCACCTTTCTCGCCTCCGCTGTTAAGTGAATCCCTGCAGGTGTTAAATTCGTAACGCGGTCGTTAAGTGAATTTGGTTTCCCCCTTGTCAGAAGGTCGCAAAAGGGGGATCAGGTGAGCCCGGGACGCCGCGACCGTCGTAAATGTGAGCCAGTTGTCAAGCCTCTGAATTTGGATCGTGTGACCTTGGGGGAAATCACGTTAAGTGTGAAAAATGGCCCTACGTCACTTCCCCCCGCCCCCCTGGTGCCGTTGTAACGTCAAACAGTCACTACACAAACGGTTGCTAAGTCGAGGAAGTATCTGTATTTTGTTTTTCACCTGATTGTGACGTGAATCTGCCTTCCCACACTGAGTTTGGTTGTTGGGAAGGTCGTAAAAGCAGATCATGTGAGCCTGGGACACCGCGACCGTCATAAATATGGACTTTCAGCCTCAGAGTCTCAGCTAGAGACTCTTCCCCACAAAGCTGCGAGGGCAAACGAGAACAGGCGTTGGATGCAAATGGGGGCTGGTTCCTTCAAAGCGCCAGGCTGTTTTCGTGAACGAGCCCCCATTTGCACCCAGCGCCTGTTCTCCGTGTCCACGGTTGGGGGTGTGGGAGATGAAAATATAGCCCCCTCCTCATATAATAAGAGAGGGCTGTCTTCCTGGGCGCCAAGATCACCGCAGATGGGGACTGCAGCCAAGAAATTAAAAGACGCTTGCTCCTGGGGAGGAAAGCTATGGCAAATCTAGACAGCATACTAAAAAGCAGAGACATCACCCTGCCAACAAAAGTGTGTAGAGTCAAGGCCATGGTTTTCCCAGTTGCAATGTAGGGCTGTGAAAGCTGGACCGTAAGAAAGGCTGAGCGCCAAAGAATGGAGGCCTTTGAACTCTGGTGCTGGAGAAGACTCCTGTGAGTCCCCTGGACTGCAAGGCGATCCAACCGGTCAGTCCTGGAGGAGATCAACCCCGACTGCTCTTTAGAAGGCCAGATCCTGAAGTTGAAACTCAAGTACTTTGGCCACCTAATGAGAAGGAAGGACTCCCTGGAGAAGAGCCTGATGCTGGGAAAGATGGAGGGCAAGAGAAGAAGGGGACGACAGAGAAGGAGGGGGCTGGATGGAGTCCCTGAAGCAGGAGGCCTGAGCTTCAATGGACTCCAGAAGATGGTAGAGGACAGGAAGGCCTGGAGGAACATCCATGGGGTCGCGATGGGTCGGACACGACTTCGCAACTAACAACAACAAACCTGAAATGGGCCCTCACAGAAGCGATCTGAAGCTTTAACTGGATCTTTATGCTGTTTCTCAATGAGGACGTGGTGTTTGTAATCTGCTGAGCTTTGTGCAATATGAAATTGCAAAGCAGGTAGTACTGTGTATATTTGGAACATGAGTATTGTAATTGTGGGGAAAGAGGAACCGAAAGGAGCTGACGGAGGCGGGTTCCAATGTAGACGGGTATATGTGGAAAGTTATGTTCAGCAGAAGGTCAGCAGGAGGTCAGTAGAAAGTCAGCAGAAGGCAGCAAAAAGTCAGCGAACCATCTGACTACAGTCTTAGAACGAGAAAAGGTATAAAGAGTTGGGTCTGGGCCTGATTGATTTGCCATTGGCCTATAGCTGTCCTTTTGGAATCTACTATGCCAGTGGTTCTCAACCTTTTTAATGCCACGACCCCAACCGGTCGTAAGTCGAGGACTAAACCGGTTGTAAGTCGAGGACTAAACCGGTCGAAAGTCAAGGACTACCCAACCGGTCGTAAGTCGAGGACTTTCCCTGCCAGGGAGCGCCGCACATGCGTGGTTCCGCCCCCTGCGCCGGCCGAGGCGTAGCTGGCAAGCGGCAGAGATGGAGCAGGCCGACCACCAGCTGGCCCAGCCCAAGGGAGGTAAGGCACCCGCCGGAAAAGGGGGAAAAAAATGGCGGACAAAAAAAATGGTGGACAGCCTTGCTTGGCGACCCCCATGAAATGGTCGATCGACCCCAAACGGGGTCCCGACCCACAGGTTGAGAACCACTGTACTATGCCATAGGGCAGTAGTGGCGAACCTATGACATGCGTGCCAGAGGCGGCACTCGGAGCCCTCTCTGTGGGCACATGTGCCGTTGCCCCAGCCTCGCCTCCCCCCATGACCCCCTCCTCTCCAGCAGCCCCCCTGGAGGAGAGTCGCCCCCGAGCGTGGCCCACGTTGAGCAGCGCAGCCAAGGACATGGCAGCCAGGCAGCATAGACAAGACTCTGCCCTCACGCCCCATCATGCACAGCTAATGCTGCAGAGCGCGGGCAGAAGGTGTGACCACCATAGCGCTGCTGGGCTGCCTGGGCGATCTGCGGCAGGCCCTGGAGACGGTGTGTGGCCTTGCGGGCAGGTGGGGTGGGGACGGAGCAAGGGCAGGGGCAGTTTTTGGGCACTCGGTCTCTAAAAGGTTCGCCATCACTGCCATAGGGTCCTCATTGCCATGGGTTGTTAATGTAAGTGATGTTGTGCTATGATGCTTGCTATGTTCCAAATTATTAGCCAAATAAACCTCTGAATCTTAAAGTAAGAATGATTGTTTTGTGCTGCTGTCTCTTGTCTTTTTCACTGGGTTTTTCCAGGAAAGGGGGAAAAAAAATGGCACGGAAGAGGGAGACAGCACAGGTAGTCCTGTATGTGAAACTACTTGCAGCCAGAAGTGTGTGTGTCTTCCTTCGTTTGGAGGCTTGCCAACTGACTGCATTGCCTCGGTGCTATGCCCTGGGTCATCACAAAAGTGGGGGTCCCCAACCCGCCCCGGGCCGTGGACTAGCATGCCAGCAACTGGTCTGCACAAACAAGCAAAGCCCCCATCCACGAGATGCAGGCAGCACGCAAAAACCACGCACCCTCCGATCCGTGGAAAAAACCTCTCTCCGTGGAACCATTCCCTGGTGCCCAAAAGATTGGGGGCCTCTGCACTAAACCACAGTTATGTATGTGTGTGAGTGGGCAAGCACACTTTTTCACATCCAGAGCCTCTTACCTTTCGACCACACTGACCGACAACTTGTTGCAGAGCCGATGCACGTAGCAAGCGTAGTGCTCCACCAGAGAGACGTCGTAGCCCGTCAGCACAACGTTCAAGGTCCCATATTGATGTTCTGTGCCAGGGTCAATTTCCTTCATTTCGATATGATTCCTCCTTTTTTTGGGCTCCTGGGGAAAAGACAGCAAGGGTTTATTAAATTTATACAGGTAGACTTAACAATAGTTCATTTCGTTGGCGACTGGATGGTGTTTCCAATGTCAAATAATGGATACAACAATACAAGGAGATGTGTTCGACGATCTGAAAGCACGGACATGGAAGACGATATGGCAGAGAAAGAAAGCCAGAATAAGACTGAAAAAGAATGGAGGATTGACTTAAGTATAGAAGTAAAATAAAATACATCTAAATAGATAAGAGGTGTTTTTGGGAATATAAGATATTGTTATGAATTTAAGATAAAGAAAACTTTGGTTATTTAAAATTTAGAAGTATAAGTACTAATAGTTAAATTTGAATATTGATTTATGTATAAAGGCCATGTAAAGGTGATTAAGATATAAGCTAAAACCTTATTGATATATGTGATAAATATATTCTTTAAGGAAGATTAGCCTAAATATGAGATAGTTGATACAAAGAGGAAGAGAGAGGAAGAATGAGAATTGTATTAATTTAAACATAGACAGTATATATTAAGGGGGAAAAGAGAGGGAATATCTATGGTAATAGTTTGAGATCTGTACTAATGATATCTGTATGTAATTGAATTACTGTAACTCAGCCGCCACATTGCTTTTCAAATAAGTAAATGTAATATCAGAAAAACAATAAAAATTATAAAAAAACCCCAACAGTTCATTTCGCAACTCTTCTAAGTTACAACGTCGCTGAAAACGGTGACTTACGACCATTTTCCGCACTTAGAACCATTGCAGAATCCTCGTGGTTGTGTGATCAAAATGCTCGGCAACTGACTCATATGTATGACGGTTGCAGTGTCCTGGGGTTGTGTGATCCCCTTTTGCGACCTCCTGACAAGCAAAGTCCATGGAGGAAGCCAGAGTCACTTAACAGACGTAGCAAGAAAGGTTGTAAAATGGCACAAAACTCACTCAACAACTGTCTTGCTTAGCGACAGACATTTTGGGGTCAATTGCGGTCATAAGTCGAGGACTACCTGTGGGCCACCCATCTCGGTGTTTTAACAGCTGGGAGCTTTGGCAAACCCCACAGATCTTCTCTTAACTCAAAACCTAAGTGTCAAGGTAA